GCCAGTTTAGCCAGTTCTTACTCTGGCAAGTTATTTTATTATAAATATATATTATATATATTATGATAGCCTGAAGGAACTCTAAACCGTTTGCTGCAAAGAGATTGAAAAATGTTACGATTTGATGTAAAATAATACTAGAAATATTTTACTTATAATTTCTTGTTCAGAAAATAGTGAACATTTTTATGAAATAAAGAAATAAATACCCCTGTGTTTTTGTTCAAGGGCTGCTGATTTCAGCACTGGATTTTACTCGTATTTCATTCTTTTAGCCCACATTTCTGGATCTCCTAGTCCCCTTGGTAATGACTCTATTTCGTATCGAAATTATTCAGAAGTCAATCTACTGCGTATTCATTTAGCAGTTTACGATACCATTTTGCTGCTGCACTAAGAGTGCAGGCAAAAGCAACAACAACAACAACAACTACAACAAAAATAAGAAATTCTGAGGCTCAGTCGCTGCGCTTGGTGTAAAATGAAACAAAAGTATGGCTGGAGAAAAATCAATACAAAGTCACGTTTTAGAGAAAATCACGTTTCATTAGATACCTATACGAGTATGAATACACACACACAAACATAAACCATGAATACTACACGCACACATACAACTGCATATATACAAGGCATTAAAATTCCATTGTTGCTATAATTTCGTTTTATGCAAGCGAAAATAAAGACAGAAAAAAATATCCGTCATTGAATCGTTTTCGGAAACTGTTCTGAAAGTCAAATGAAAACTTTAAGTGAAAGGCAGCCATATTTAATGTATCCACACACACAGAGACAGATGCACATATATGTATATAAATATACTTATGGTTTTTCCGAGTATCGCTCGGCAACCCTCACCTTGAAATTTACGACACTTTTCACTTTATTATCAAATGCTGACACTTCAGTTTTGGGGGCCAGAGCGGGCTAAAAATATCTGACTTCTCCATCTCGGGGGAGGATCAACAGGCGTGGCTAGGATTTCCTCCCCACAAAATCCGGCAGGAAATTGAGTTCTTAAAGATTGTGCCTAAGCCTAGGCAATTAGTTGGTTCTCCTCAAAATGGTGTTGAAAATTTTGGGATTTTAGGGCCTTAACTTTAAATTAGGTATAAAAAGGTGCGATGCGCTCTAAATGATTAGTGGCACAGTTTGAAGTATTTAATATCTTATGTTGATCAAAATGGAAAATATATCTCCAGTTTATAAAATCTGTGCGGCTAAGCGCCGCCCCTTGGCAGGGCAAGGAGCACTACAGAGCCGGGATCTCTTAACGTACAGCAATTCATTGCTGTGTTATTGTCATTGTTATTATTTTTTCGCTTCTGTCTACGCTCTTAATTTTTGTATAGCACTTTCTCATCGTTTGTCGTCGTACGGGAGCTGCGATCATCGCCATCGATCATCACCAATCGCAAGTTCCGTCGTCTGTCCTATGGTCTGTGGCCTGTTATTCTAAATTATTATAAACCGAATTTAAAACTTGTTGTATTTTAATTTGATTATATTCTAATCACTCTGTCTCTGTCTAATCCCTCTTTTCAATAGAGATGATTTCAGTAAAGCAAATAAAACGATATGAAAAGCTTAGGTTTTTTGATATGCTTCCGTAAAATATCTTTTCAGAGTAAAAGCAATTAGTGCATTTGGTTATTCGAAAAGCAAATGCCTATGGTATACCACAATACCACGAGTAACCCCAAACTCTTAAGGATAAATGAAGGCGTAACCCATTAAATGTTTAAAAGTAAAGGAATTACCAAGTTTTCATGCAGGAAATTGTTACACTACTCGTATCAAAGTCGACGTGTTCGTTTGAACAGCGCAGCAAAATTACAGCATTAAGCGGATTTCCTCTCTGGAAGTCAAACACGCACACACACACACACACACGCGCGCACACCGATATGCCGGCACCAATACCAACAACCAAGATAAACACTCACCGATATGGTGGTAGGAACAAGAAGCATAAGTACAAGAAGAAGAGGGACCAGAACAGCCCCCTCAGACCAAAACCCCTGGGCTTGCATATGTGTGTGTGTGTGAGTGCATTCATCAAAAAAATGCACGACACAAAAGAATATAAAAAGCATCAAATTCTAGACAAGACCAGAACTACAGCAAACGAGCACAGGAAACAAGGTACTCATTCACACACACACACAAGCAATCATCTATCGAGCCATAAAGCTGACAGAAGAAACAACAATGAGAGAATAAGAAAATGGTGTCTCAGTCCCAGGTAGCATTTGAGCAGCGTTAGGACGCAGGCGGCAGGCACAGTGGTGCATCTGACGACCAATAGGCGACCAAAATAGATATGACAAAGGTCGCTGACACTTAAGAGGGAGGACTCCAAAATGTCTTTGCATGGGGCTGGGTAAGTTGTTGTATTCAATAATTTGATTTCATTTCCTCTCGCATGACTTCTGTAACTGTAATCGGGGGTTTTCATGAGTATAAAATATGGGTATTGTGTAGTTTAACAAGGTTTATATTTAAAGATTACAATAAAAACCATCCCCCTGTATTTGAGCCCAACTTTAGGATAAAAAACATAAAAATACTCTCTCATATAAATCTGAAAAATCTAAATCTAAAGAAGGCTAAAATTATATTAAAAATATGAGATTTTGCGTCCTTTTTGACACAATCAAATGGTTTCTAATTGAATGATTCAAACGTATGTATTTCGTTCGAATACCAAGAAGTTGGGCAGAATAAAAAAATCGAAGGGAAAACGTAGAGTGTTTAATATAAATTATGTCAAATAAATAGTTTTTTATAATCAAAATTGTATTTCTCTTGTTTAAAAGGAACGTTTTTGGGATCTATGTATATATCAATAAATACCACAACCCCTTTTCTCCTGTTTTAACAAAATAACATATCCCAAAGTGCCCAATTTTCAATTCTTCTAGTAGTTAAATCTTCGATATATTTCGATAGTTTGTTGTTGTTACAGCCACCCAAAATATATTGACTCTTTAATGACTCTTTTAATGAGTTAGTTGAATCAGATCAATCGGTTGTACAGAACAAACAGATTGTAGAAGAACACACAGAATGCGAGCCCACTGTGCGCTGCGTTCTTCGGTTCATTCACCGACCATTGCAATACGGCTGCGCTGCTGTTGCTGTTATGCTGTTCAGTGTAACAAAAAAAAAAAACAGGTTTTCAAACTCATACACACAGAAGACACACACACACAGATACACTCATACAGCCACATGCCACCCTCTGGCAAACAAAAACAGCGAGCGCAAGCGAGAGCGGAAGAGCCAACAACATTTTCTCATTGGCTGTCTTGGCGCGCTTAATGTGCCACACACACAGACGCACACATACAGAGGGACGCGGGCCTGGAACGGCAAACTGGAACTGCCAGCGGTGTGTGCGTGCATGTGTGTGTGTGTGAGTGTGTACAAAATGTTTATGTATGTTTGTATTTGTGTTGCTGTTTCCGTTGTATCGCGCCTGTTCACCGCCGCCGCTCCGCCCACACACACAGAGCCGCATAATTGTTGTATGCCTGTCTGGCAACGCCTTAATAATTGTTATTTGAGTTTCATTTTGTTTTCTATGCTGGTGTGCGTGCGCCTCCTTCTCTCTCTCTCTCTCTCTCTGTCTCGCTGCGTGTGTGTGCCGTTACACTCCATTAGCGAACATTTCTGGCATTCGAGTGTTAAGCTTTCTCTTTCAGCCCTTTTTTTTGGGGGGCCGACAATCGTTTGGATTTCGCTCGTTGCTCGAAATCTTTCTCCTTTTCTGAGCCATTTCCCTTTCCTCTTACGCACGTTTTTTTGTGTCGTTGTGTGTGTTGTCTGTTGGGCTCTTCCGCTTGTCAAAATTCAATGTCAGTTTTGCGATTGTGTTGGTGCACGAGTGGGTTTTCCTCCTATTGACATGGCCGCCATATTTTGCTTCGTTTCTTGAATAACTCGTAAATATTTTATTTCCCCTTTAGAAATTTTTAACCATTTTATGCCGCTCATAAAAATGTAAATTTCGTTTATTTCCCTCATTTTAAAATTTGCTGTTTTGTTTTGTCCATAAATATGTACTCAAGAAAACTAATTAAATACGACAAACAAATTAAAATATAATGTGACAGTATAATGTTAAAATATACATATACTGTTGAAGTCGTGTATTACTCCACCTTACAATCCAAAAAAAATCCTTAATAATCATCCGTGTTAACAATAATATTGTTGTATATAAGACAATGGTTTTTTGTTAAATATATTCAAAAATGAATCTTTCCCCATTTTTAGCAACATAATTTTAAATTTTGTAAATCCTTGGCTTCAAAAAATTGAAAGTATTTAATTTTTTCGTTTCTGATTAACACAAAGTCTGATTTTCTCAAATAATTTAATTGTTTTTAAACGTTTGTATTTTGTCTTGAAATTTCAATTTTTTCTTTGAGAAGCTTAATTTGATGAAACCTTGTTTTGGAAACTTCAATACTATTTTAAATTTTAAAAAACTTGATCACCAACGAAAAAGACATTCCGAATTAATAATTGTTCTAACACAAAGATACGTTCTTTATTATGGCATCCAAAGTTGTTTCTAATATTTCAGGGTTTTTTCTTCCTATATGCACATCATAAAGAACGGTCCACACTTGCCACGCTTTACTACTGAAAGTGTAACTCAATATTTTACAAACACAACTCAAAATGCACTTTGCCACCGAAGGAGGCATGGTTGCGGGGGCAGACAAAATCGGCCCCGCCCGGAAACCTCCCCTCCGCCACCCTTCAGCGTGCTGCCTGTCGTCTGGGGCAGACAAAACAAATCATTTTCGGTGGCTACCGTATATGCAAACAATACGAGTACAAACGAGAACCAAAAAACGAGAAAAAAAAGAACAACAGAAAAAACAAGAACCCCGAGACACTGTAAAAACAAACACTCTGAGGGCAGGGGCTGGCCAATGCAGCTGCAGACCCACTGAACCTCGCTTAGTCCGGGGGCTAATGATTACTTTTGGGATCCATCTCATAAGCAAGTGGCTTTGAGTGCAGGCTGCATCGCTTGAGGGAGTCGACGGCCAAGATTCTGGAGTTGCAGAACGTCCGCGAGATCGTAAATTATGCCACATAAAACGCGCGCGACAACGACGAACGACGACAGCGACAGGGACAGCTACAGCGACTCCAGCAACGACTTGGTCACTGGGTGCAGTGCGACTTGATTCGACACTAAGCTGACCGCAACTAAAACGCTCCGGCCGTCAGCGCTGACGGCGACGACGCTGCCCTGGTCAGAACGGTTCGGTTCGGCTCTGCTCCGCTTGCTCTGCCTTAGATTACTTTTGATTGGGCTCTTGGCTGGGGGGCTACGGTTCCAATGTCGCCTTCGCTGCGGACAATGTCACATGTGATGGGGCCAAGACGCTGCTCAAAATAAACAAACAGCCGCCGAGCCCGGATCGGCCATGACTTCTGCGGAGTTGGCAAAAAGTGTTGCATTTCACTCGAACTGCAGCGACTTTCTTTCGGCTTTCTTTGCCGCGACATTTGCTGAGCCAAGCCCAATCAGAAGGCGACGCCAGTACCCCCCAGACTCTTACCATAAAAGTTATATAAGCCAAAAGTTGACCCCTGAATCAGATCGTACCACTACCCGAGCAAATGCTTGGATCAGCACTAAAATTTGGACTGCCCTTTTTGTAGTCATCGCTTGCCTTTGTTGCTGTGGTCACTCCACTCATTGGACTCTCGTCTTACGCGATTCATTCATTGATCGACTTATGGCCGATCACGCCTGGTATCTTCTGGCACTTGTCAGCCGGCCCCGTGGCACGTGTTGCTGATTTGTTGATGTTGGCTGGTGCCGTTGTCGATATTGCCTTTTTTTCAGCTGCTATTTGTCTCTTACAATGTTTTGGCTTCTTATTTTTTTGTCTTTTTTGTATGGTGCTGGCGTCGATGAGCTAATCGGCTATGACGTTTGTGTTTTCTTGCAAGTGAAGCACAATTTCGCCCTCAGCTGTGCAATGCGATGTTGTTGCTGGCTCTACCACGGCCGCTGCTGCTAAATCTGCCACTATCATCGCTCGACGTGCAAAAATTTGAAATATTCTCAACGAATATACATACATACATATGTACATATATGCAGTACATACAGTAGGCCCTCCCACCTCAGATAGTAAAACAAAGTGTGAATCATGGCTCCGGCGCCTGTCTGAAATACACGGAATTCAAGACACAAAACTAGATCGGGTCGGAAACAAAGCCGCCCTTTTAAGATGATATTAAGCATATAAGAATTAAATTTGTAACTTTTTAAGAACCTCCTTAGTGTTAAACACTTAAAGCCAAATAGATGGATCTAACCAAGCATGCATCTAATCATTTATAATACATATATAATCCGTAACGTAATGCCAACATTTTAAAGAAAAATACTCTTTATAGATCACATGAAAATATTAAAGATCACTGTACAAAAAAATTATAAAAAGCGCTTCTCAGAAAGAACCAAAAATATTACAAGATTGTAAGATGAAATATTTCTATGATCTTAGTCTAGGGGCCGGGACAAAGCATCCCTCAAGCCAGGCATTCCCATGCTCGCATGTCAGCCCGGCCCACAGATCGAGATGCGTATCTGAAGACGTTCGATGATCGCATAATACTCGTATGCACACATGCAAGTTGGACACGAGGATTCCCATATTTTCGGCACAAAAATCCCGAACCCTTTTCTCATAAACACAAGAAGAGGGAAAAACTTACAAGTTTGAAGCGCCAAAGATACAGATATGTGCATGGGCATGAATATGAAACGCGTATGCGGGCCTGTTATCCGATAGCGGGATGGCAAGACGAAGACCAACAGGAGGACGAGGAAACAGGCACAAAGGACACACCAGCAAGTATCCGAGCTATGTGGCTGTTCACTTGGAAACAAAGTTGCGGCTTCGGTTAGAGATCGATCAGATTCGATATCGGTGCGGGGACGTGATCTAAACAATGGCCACAGGACATGCGGACAGGACTATCCCGAAACCGATGCTGAGCGTCAGAGTTGAAATGCCCAACAAAACACGGAAATGTGTGCCACGATGCTGCAGCTCGTGTGAGCGCATAAATTAGGCCATAAACAAGTAGCTGTAAAAATTAAGAAAATATTCTATATATAATCCAAATTTTTGGTTGTGAAAATTGTTCAACTGTTGCTCCAGCTGCAAGCCACGCTCCAGTGCCGCCCCCCCACCCACTCTCACGGAAGCTGCACAACCGGAAAAACGCTTCAGTCCCGGATTCGTGGCAGGGCAATGTCAACCAATTGGATTTGTGGCAGACATAGTGGCGGCAGTTGGGCCTTGAATGCCGAAAGGAGTTGTGCAAGAGGCTGGTGATGGGGCACAGGAACAGGCACGGCTGTGCGGCTCAATTACATTGCCGATTGAGCGTGAAATTGTAATGCTTGATTTGATTTCACGTGACAAGGAGACCCTTGGGCTAGGCAGAGACACCAGCATGCACACACATACTCGTACAATATACACATGGCCTCCTACATGGCCATATAAATATATATGGGTCTGGGTTTCTAAAGGACTGACATCCTCTCGAGGGTCTGAGGCTCGTTTTCAAATTGGACACAGCCGCTAATTTGCTTGGCGCGCGCGCCACCTTGTGGACTTGTGGAGTTGTGGAGTTGTGGAGTTGGCGACCCGTCATGGTCACTTCTGGTACAACGCTGGTACCGCTGGTCGCTGCACAACACCAATATCCCTTGCCGAATGCTGTTTTGTTTGTTTGTGCTTTTCGCCTCTCGGGTCGGCACTCTCTTTCTCGCTTCCTGGAAGTATTATAGTAAATTTCCCGCATATCTTTCGTGTGTCATTGTCGCCTGGTCTGGTCTGGTCTGGTCTGGTCTGGTCTGGTCTGGTCCGGCCCGGGCGGCTTTGGCCTGCTCTGTCTCAGTCTCCGTCTCCGTCTCGGTTTCCGTCCGCCGTCACCCCCCTCCTGCCAGATTATTAGTTATTATTTTTGTCATAAATGCAAATTAGCTATACGCAATTTGCATATTCTACATTCAACTTGAAATGCATACTGTCTCGGCAACTCTCGTTGGTCATTGTAAAGACCTCGTCTGGAGCCTGGTCTCTACGGCTGGACTGGACTGGAATGGACCCTGACCGGACTGAACACTTGGATATATTTGGGACTTAGATTGACAAAGTCTTCTTTGTCTTTGTTATTGAAATGTGCATATGAGATGATTGTATGATTATACTCAACAAAATCTTTTAATCAGATATCATTATTGTAAGACCGAAAGAAAGACTAAAAAAACGTCTTAAAATGACTCAAAGGGTATACTTCGAACCGATTTTTCCTGCTCTATTCTTTTTTTAACAAATACAAACTACACGCAGATAATATTGATCTGAGATTTAAGATTAACATTTGAGTTAAACACCAAAATCTCTTCCAAATAATATCAAATGAAAAAGTCTGAAAACTCGAAAGTTTTGCAGGTGGAGCCAGGAGTTTAATGAACAGGGAAAATTGTCTGGTTTCAGATTTTGCTCTCTATAATGCCATCGATCCGCAGCGGGGACCATTAAAAAGAACGAAAAGAACCGTTGAGTTGACTTGTTTTTTATGGGGACTACAGTGGATTCTGTAGAAAAGTCGGGCTGATGACCACAGCGACACAGGATCTGGAATGTCTGGCCCGAGAGGGGTTTCTTTTTAACGCAATTCGATTTGCTGCTTTTCCCTTTTCATAATTATAAAATGTTTGTGGCTGTGCCTTAATATTTGCATTTGGCAGTGGGGCGTTTCGGTTTATGGGTTTTTTTTCGGGGCTGTATTATTTCGTTTTATTGCTATTGTTGCTAAAGAATAATTTCTGATTTTTTTTCGTTTCGGGACGGCGCAGAAGTAACCTCCGCCGACGGCAGCCTCGGGCTGTGGGCGTCATATTACAGACTGCGGCTGTGACATGCCCTCGATGACGATGACGACTCTGGACTCTGGATGCCATGGCTGGTGGCTTCTTTGTTTGTCGTACACATGTTTTTCAAATGCATTTCCCTCGATCATCGCCTACGACAATTCGCATTGAATTTCACTTGTTTGCTTGCACAATACTTTTCTTTTGGTGTTTGGTGTTTGGTGTTTGGAGGGAAGGTTACTTTGAAGGGTTATGAATCATGCGACTCATCGCAAGGATCTGCGGCCTGCCACTCACCTCTGGCAGCTATCCGTTTTGCCGCTGGTATTGTTGCAGTGGGGCAGCCGTCGATAATCCCAACTGGAGAGGCGCAGCGTAACAGAAAATCGCTGTAACGACCGCGAACCGAGGAATGCTAATTGTTGCTAGCACATTTTTGCAATCAATTTTTAAACAAATTTAAATGTGCTGCGGCCGAGCAAGTTTTATGTTTACGTTGGAAATGGCGAAAATCGGCTTAATGGGCCCGTCACTTTTTTTATTGGGCTCTGGTCACGGCACTGGAGCAACAATTTTCAACATATTCGCTTGTCAAAGTTATTTGGACACTATTTGGATAGCACTCAAACTGAAGACCACTGGCACGACGAATAAACGCTCCAGGATGGATTGCACGGACGGCGACTCGGCGTGGACGCGCAGCTGAAAAGCTGAACCAGCGAGGCGGGCGGCGAACGAATGAGTGATACTCGGATGGACCGAGCTCAGGCTGCAGTAACTGGGGGCAAGAGCAGCAGCAGCAGCAGCGGCAGAAGCAGAAGCAGAAGCAGCATCAGCTCGGGCGGCGGCAGCAGAGGCGGTGGCGGTGGCAGAAGGCTGCCAAATGGTGTGGAGGCGCGACGAGTGCGCACGCACACTGACTCAAACACACGGATACACACACTCAAAGGAGCCAGCCCGTAGACTGGAAGTTGGTGGTGGCGGAACATGCAACATTCCAGTGGCTTTCCAGGCAGCGCACGTCTGTGTGCGTGTATTAATGAATGAAACGCCAATGCCACTAGACCACTCTCCTCCTCCTCCTCCTCCACCTCCTCCTCCTGCCACTCGGCCATCCCACCCTGCCACTCACGTTTCTGTGTGCTTTGTTTGCGACTGCCACACGTGAACGAGAGCCAGCAGATCTGCTGCCACAAACGTGCGTGCCCAGGACGTAAAATAGCTGCGCATGCGTGCGGTGTGCCAAAAGGTATTACGGCCACGGAGCTATATTTAGACGTGTTTTACAAACTACCAACACTTTCGATTCTGGGAATAAATACTTATTATATGTTTTACATGAACATACAATTTCAGGATTCGTACATATTCGGTGGCAACATAAAAAGAAAGTACTTTGTAAATCCTGTCAAAATCTATGCATCTACACACAAAATTACACAAAATTCCAGTACCTGGGCAAATTTAAACTCATTAAATCGATTACGAGCAATGAGAAAACTGATGCAATGGAACCCTCCGATGACGAAGATCTGAAGGCTTTCGAGCTGCGACTCACCGAAGTGGTTCTCTCGCACAGACCGACCTTCCGATGGCGCATTCTCCTGTCCGCCATGTCGATATGCACGGCCATCGGGGCCTGGTACTGGCTGAGGGATCCCCACACCACCGTTGTGCCTCTGACGGAATCCCTCTGGATACACCCAATCTTCGCAGCGGCCACAGTAACCTTAATTGTACTCTTCATCATAGGCATACAAAAGTTGGTCATAGCGCCGAAGGTCATCACAACGCGTGCCCGTTGTGTGCTTGGAGACTTTAACATGAGCTGCGATGACTCGGGCAAACTGATATTGAAGTCCCGCCAAAGCTACGACGGCACCACATGAGTACCCCACTGCTACCAAGACAATCAATTAGTTAATGCATAGAACAACTATCTAAATACTCTTTCCTCCATGCCTATTTTCTTCCCGACACTTTTACTACTTAAATTTTCGTTTTTTATATAAAATTCATTCTAAAAACATAATGATCGGGGACTTTAAATTCTGTAAGACAGTTTAGATTCAGCTTTCAGGGTGAAATGTATCGTCAATACTAATTAATGTCTTCTTTTGTAAGTTTTAAAGCAGCAGTAATGCCCAGGGTAGCGTCGATTGAATCCCACGGGCAGGGTAGGTATAGACGGAGGACTCTGACATCTTCGTTCTTTAATGTAGAATAGGGTATCATATACTATAACGTATGCATGTAGCTGTCGATACAATACAGAATGCACCCCGATCTTCGTGTTCTAGGCCGTCCGCATAGTAGACAAGGTGTGCAGGCTGTGACGACAATGATGGTTTTTGTTATAAGGAATCTTAATAGAAGATATGTAATGACTACAATAGGCGGGCTTTGGCTTCAATCACCTGTGCCGATTCGATAGAAATTTTTTATTAAAACTAGTTTGAGTAAACTAGTAGTTTGAGGTAAACTACTGGTATATGGAAAACGTAGAGCAGGGCAACAGCATTTAAGCCTTATTATGGTTGTATTTAGAAAGAAGGTTTAATAAGTGTTTACAATTTACTTTATTATTTACTCCAAAAAATGGACCAACATACAATATATATAAATGAAATTCTTGTTTGGCAAAATATATTAAAACAATGCTTAATAAATAAGGAAATTGAGTCCACACAATTTGCAGTTAGAGGCAAAACCAGTTATAACGGAGTTTGTATGTTTTGAAAAATATTTGTCTGAGCCAATAATCCTGTGAGCGATCGCACATCTGTGGACTAGTAAAGAAAAATGAAAACTCCTAACCATGAAATTAACAATTGTTAGGCAAAGTCGAAATACTTTTGACGTTTATTAAGGTGAGGCGCAACTTTGTAAGAGCTTTGAAACATATATATTTTGTTGTTGCTACATTGTCAAGTCTTAGTGCGAGCAAACATAATCGAGAAACTTGGGAGAGTGACCGCGCTACGGGGTTAAGCAGGATACATGGTATCGAAGTTTCATGTACATTCAAACAAATTGTATGGTATGGTTCTTTTTTATATACTTATATACACATAAATTGCCGCCTCAATGCATGCGCGTAAGGTCCTCCACTATTTTGATGACATCCTCCACATCCGCGCCCTTCCGTTCCCCGTTCAGCGTCAACTGAAAGTACAAACAAAATTAGACCCTTAGTATTCCAATACATGACGGAATCTCGACCATCGAACCTCTAGACCCAGCACAGCATCTCGCATCTTGTCGCGACTCAAGTCCAAAAAGCTTTCTATCAGATCCCCATCGATGAATCCCTCGCTGGGCTCCACTTTGGTGTTGATTTGGAAATTGCGATAGTAGGTGTGCTCGATTTTGCCCACCGACTTGATGATCTTCTTCAGACGCTCCTCCAGGCCATGCAGGAAATCGTAAAAGTCCTGTGGTATTTGGGTGACAATGCCAATAGCTCCATTACAGGTTCCATACAGCACACATCCATTGATGGGCGTGGTGCGCTCGCCCACATTCTGCATCACCAAAGAGCCATGTCGGAAAACGTTCACTGTATCGCCCAGGTGGAAACGCGCCAGCTCCGGCAGCAGCTGACGTTCCTCGTCGGTGGTGGCAGCACTAGAAATATAAACTTTAATTATCAGGATTATGGTCTTTATAGTTCATAGAAGGCTACCTGTCCTTCTGGCACACAAACAGATTGCCGTTTGTCTCCGAGCCCAGAAACGTATCATCATCGAGTATTTCCACGGCACGCATCCACTTCGGCTCGCAGTCGCGGGCGATCTCCACAAAGATTCCCTCCATCTGCTTGTGCTGCAGCAGGGTGATGGAGCGCATCAGATCGCCCACTAGGATGAAGTCGCCCTTAGCCTTTAAATACAGTGCCGCAATCATATTCTGGATGTTGCACTCCATACGGAGCTCCTTCTCGTTGGTCCATTCGTAGAGACGCACAAAGCTGCCAATTCCGGCCAAGACCTTGCCATTAAACTCGACCAAGGCGTAGCACGTTCCGTCCACCTTGGTCTCGGCCACCTGTGTGAGCTTGCTGTCGTGGTAGTGGAATATAATGATGCGCCCCACCTTCGGCTCCGGCTCGTCGGGTATGACCAACGAGGTAGCGACCACATAGTATGTGTTTGGATCGTCGCCCAGCTTGGCTGACATCAGTGACGATATAGTCTCGGGGGCTACGAACTGGTGGGCATGCAGCACCTCGAAAGTGTTCTGGTCGATCACCAGCAAGTTGTGCACGTCGATCTCCTGGCCAACCTCTGCATTGGCTGCTGTGGAGTTGTTGCCGCCCGGCTTGGGCAGGATATTCGAGCTACATGTGATATTCTGGGCCTGTGTGGAGGCGCTATTGCGCAACGGCTTGGCCCCGCCGCGTCCATGGACATCGATGCGAAGCGTAGACACAGCAAAAGTCTGCGATGCCTCCTGATAGGCAATGCGGCGCGGGCCCTCGCCCAGGGGCACAGTACGGATGTGTAGTTTTTGGATCTCGTCAATGGTGCCCAATATAACAGAGTTCTTGGTGGCCAACGCCAAGCTGTCTGGATAGGCCTGGGCGTTCAGCGAGCACATGTGGTTGACCTCCTTTAGATTAACGTTGGAGAAGACGAGCTTGTGGTTCGACGAATAGATCACCGTCGGACGGTCGGAACAGGCAAACACATTGGTCGTGGCAAACGACCGGAAAGTGCGCAGCGTTGTGGGCTGAGTACCTAGGGTAACCTTCTTCTTGTCCGTCAGCTGTCCGGTCGTCTGATCCATAATGAAGTAATACATCGAACCATCGCCCAGGGCGCAGAGCAGATAGTGTATGCCCTCGAAGGTGGTCATCAGTATGGAGCGGGGAATAATTTCTGCAATCGATCAATACGGCTTCGTTCACAAATGACCCAAAAAATTGGTTAAATCGTTTACCTCCGCTCAGCTTCTCAGTGTAAATCGTCTCCAGATCGGGTAGCGACAAGATCACTGCGGATATATCTGTCCACAAGCCCACGGCAATCAAATCGGATTTGTTTTGCGTCTCATCCAACGGGGTTATATCCAAGCAGGCCACCTCATACGCCAGGGTCTTGCGCGACTTCTCTACCAAGCGGCCGTCCTCGATGACGATGTAGAAGATGTCGCGTGCCGATGCCAGCACAATCTGTGTGCTGTTGCACGAGACGACACCAATAGAGCGGTCGCCCTCAGGCCGCCACTCGCAGATCAGAGCTTTTGTGGCACTTTTCACCAATCGCACGCTGTCCGAAGTGACTTGAATTAGCTTAAGTGGAAATTCTTAATTAAAGAGGCACTTGAAAGGAGAACGAGGGAAGTCAAACCTGATCATGTTCCACGTTGGCGCAGAGAAACGTTTGCAGATCGCTGGCGAAGCCGGGAATCTCGGTTTCCTCCACTTCCTCACCGGACAAAGTGAGAATCCTGGTGAGTCCCACAAAGGCCAATACAAGAGTATTTTCGTATGGGCTTTCGTCGATGCCCACCTTCAAAGACCACATGCCCTTTATCCCCGGAAGATCAATACAGGCATGCTCTTGAATCCCTATCCCAATGCGAATGATTCGCAGAGAACCATCTTTGAAGCTTCCAGAGCAAGTGATGATCTGACCCTGTCCCTGGCGATCCAGATCTACGACGGCAATGTCAAGAATGGGAGCCAGATTGGTGAAGTTCTCCACTGGTATGACGTAGGAGCCCTCGATTGACTCGGAGCTGAGGCGCACTAGCTGCGAGTCGCCATGTCGAGCCCCTATGTACAGGAAACCATTGTCCAAATATGTAATGCACTCTGGTATAGAGATCTCGCCTAGTTTCTCGACCTTGATGTCCTTGACAGTGACGCCCTTGCTCGTCTCGGACGTGCCCAAGAAGAGCATATACAGCTGGCCGTCCATGTTGCCCAGCAAGTACCGCAGTCCTTTGCCATCCACTCTCGCATAGCAGTTGATGGTGCTCTGGCGGAAGGTGAGTGGTGCCACCGCATGGTAGTTGCTGCCATCGTGGTAGACAATCGACTCGCGCCCAATCACGATCACGCCTCCGATGGGTGACGGGACGGGTATCAGCATGGTGGCTTCCGTCTCGACATTGTCCTGCTTCCATGCAATTTTCATGAATTCCTTCTCTCGCAAATTAATCTCATGCGACTTGACGTGTCGTCCATCGTTGTCCTTGTGGATGACTATGATTGTGGGATTTAGGCAGCCGTGCAGGAACTCTACGTCGTACACGTTCAGCTCGTCCATCCTGATGCAAAAGATAAACTTAGCTGATAAACACTTTTGTAATTTCATTCAATTTACCGCAAATTGGTGGCCTTTAGCTCGCTGGCCTCCTTGTCCATGGGTATGATAGTGAAGAGCCCCTGGTACAGGACCATGCCGATAACTCGGGCCTTTGGATCGATGGCAGCAATGACCCCGCCCTCCGAGGGAATGCCCGCCGAGTCCGAGACATTGCCGTTTGCTTTGGTTATGACTGTGATGCTGTCGTTGACCATGCGCGCCTCCAATATCATGACGTTGTAGCGACGAGTCAGTATGAACAGCAGATCCTTGTTGCTATCTGGCGGCCTGAAGTGGCGCATAACCGCGACGGTGCCATTTATGTTGATCTCCTTGAGCGGGCGCAGACCCTCCGGCGTGACGAGATCAATCTCCACCTGGTTGTTGCGGGCGATAATCAGGTTCAGGTCTGTGGGCGATGTAAAGTTGCCTGGAAGACAAGAAACAGAGCTCAACAGTTAATATATCGATCCCACCATGTATCTTGTATAATCATGGCGAAGAGCCGGCAAAACATGCATGTTCTGGTTCCGATGGTAGCCGAAACGAACGAAAATTGGCCCCCTCCCTCGTTTCCCCTTACCGGTTAAACAGGCTACAACCGCAGTGGGCTTTTGCGCTGTCACCACATAGTGATGCGACATTTTCTCAGAAGTCTCCGAAGTGCACCTAACTGACCGACACACAAAGAATGAAGTTATCAAACACGAGTTTACAAAAAAAAAGAATTATTCGCCCAACGCGCTAAAAAATTGTTCGGCACCTTGGCGTCGCTGTCAGTGTGACCGCGGATATTTCGATAAAAATATACGGTCTGACCCTCAGAAATATTCCGAAACCGCAAAAAAACTGACGAATCTTCAAGTTCCGTCATACATGTTCCTCGTTTTTGATATTCCCTCGAATATTACTAGCTATATAGAACATTTAGCCATGCCCACTTAGTTTTATCCGATTAGTGAATCAATTTTCTACTTGACTGGCTTATTTTAAATGCTCCCTTTTATTGGATCTTCAAAGGTCAAACAAATAAATCCTATTACTCAATTTTGATATTCCGTTGAATAATGCTGGCTAACTAAAACTTTCAGCTCTGCCCACATAATTTGATCCCATTGATGAATACATTTTGTCCAAGATTAACTACCTTTTTATTGTATTATGTATAAAACCAGGTTTAAATAAAAAAGTTCAGCAAAAAAACATTGGCAACGTAACAGTATGTAATTTCTTACATGTTGCTGGTATTTTGGACTTGTTGCTTGCCAACCGGAGTATGTATCTCTTTGTGTACCCTATTACCCTATAAAGGTACCTCAATAATTAAAGATCTTTTCTCAGATTGATATGTTATAGACCTATTCGTGCATTTGATGAGTTTCCGGTATATATATCCTGATAAAGTCAATAAACTGTAAAATATCGTTGTGACTGACTAGTTTCTGCACATATTGAAGGCTGGGATGACAAACATTTCCTTAACTCTATAATATCCATTTTGATAGGGTACGCAGAATGTTGAGGGAGGATGCTGCTCGTTCCCTCGGCACATGAGTCTGGCCCATAGAAATTGAGTGTTGCCAGCAACGTTTATCTGTCATCTGGCAGCACTACACTGCAAAAATATCTCCATTTTTTCTTAATACTGGCCGTTTGCGGTATATATTATATTTGATACCGGTATAAATCGGTGGGTTTATTCAATTATTCGGTATATAACGGTATATTTCATAAGCAAACACTTTCCACTCTTTTTCGAGAAAATTAATGACAAATTAATGAGAAAAAAAATGAGTAAAGATTTTAAACAAAATTATGAACAAGAGTGGGAGTCTGTACCTGAAGCAAAAGAATGGCCTGCCTATTGCTTGCAATATTGAGATTATGAGTCAGATTGCATCAATCAAACAGCATGGTGTCACACAGAAACATTGTTAAAAAATTAGAGTTTTTGTGTCTCAACTAAGGTATCTAAAGCTGTAGCTGCTGCAGCAGAGCACATTATACCGTTACGAGCAAAGGTCACCATTGTGACCACAGCGCTTTTCCTCAAGAAACATACATACAAAGCTCTAAAAATAAAATATTTTGAAAAAATTCAAAATTTTCCAATTTTTACCCGTGCCGTAAAAAAAATAACGGATCTAGGGAAAGAAATTCCTAAACTTAAGCCAACGGGCCCGAAGAGGGCTAGTAAAGTTGAACAATGCAGTGTATCGAGCCAGGTTTTCAGGGCGAGCACATTGAAAAGTTTAAGTCAAATTTTGGGTAGGAAAAAGGTAACACACCATTACGCCCAAGCCAGGGGCTTCATGATAAATGCTCCAAAAAGTGTCCCACTGGGCGGCACATTATATCATATCCTAAAGCTTCATGGAAAGAAAGTAATGGCTAGTGCCCATTTATAATTTGAGAATAATTTTAGATCGTTTCGATCTTAGGCCCTTAGGCCTCTAATATTTAGATTTAACAGATACGATTGAGTCCTTTTTATGGATTTGAATTTGTGTAGCAAGCTAAAATCAGCTGAGAACTAACCTCTCACGGATTTCAGATTTCAGTATTTCAGTACACGGTTTTATTACGGTCACACTACTTTTAATGGCGACCGGACCGATTTACCTACTACGTGTTTGACATAGAAAATAGATTTTGCAGCTGAATTTCGAGAGACCTAGAGACATTTTAATCGCATAGAGATATACTAGTGCGTATTATTTGTTAAACAGTGCAGTGTTTTTGTTGCTCCTTCCCCCACTCCCTGGAGAAGTGTTTCGTAAAGTGCCTGAAATTGCCTTCGTTGGCTCTCGAACATGGCGAGACTGACAAAAGTCTATACCACTGATGACGATGATTCTGGTTATGTTGGTCGCAGGCATTTACCCTTGGTAGCAGGCGATAAACTAATGGTAAGTAGCAGTCATTATATTATGCTTTGTCCGCACAGATTTTGTATATGTAAGGCGAAAAATGACTGGCAGCAGAACCCCTCACACTCGCATGAACTCACACACGCACACACTTGTGCCATGCAGCTTGTCCAAAAACTTTCATAACACACGGGTATATGTACATGCATATGTATGGAGTGCCTGCCTGCATGTGTGTTAGTCTCGTCTCACAAACAGCTCGGAAATTGTAATTGTGCGTTTATTAATTGAACTTGATCCATGATATTATTCTGCTGGCAGTTCTCTGTCAGCTGAGAGGGAGAGGGGTATGAGCAAGAGAGGGAGAGAGAGAGGAGGCGCTTAGTCTCTTATTTCTGCACCTGCCACCCACCCGCACCCGAAACTTCTCGCTGCTTCGCCCTCTGTCGCCATGTTGTTTGAAAGTGCACATAGCAGTGCAGCAAAAGAGAGAGATGGAACGCTGCCGCTGAATCGCCAGCAGCGGATGCACCCAAACAGGTTCCACTCTCGCTCTAACCGATCTAACCGTTCTTCTCTCGATGCTTCCAGATGCTAATGGACCTGAACAGCAAAGGACTCGTCATCGACAGCCCCCTGATACGGGGTCGCGACCTGGAGGAGTTCTCTCGCAAATTCAGGCTGCTCACAGAGGCCGAGCGTCGCCAATCGCTGGAGATTGATAGCGCCAGCTTCATGGCGGTGCTAAATCAGTGCGTGCAGTGCGTGGGCTGCCGACGCCGAGTAGAGCGATTGTACTATCAGCTGACCGAGTCGGGACATCGCACGCTCGATCCGCTGGAGCTGCGAGACAAGGCCAAGCTGGGAATTGCCGAGGAGAAGCTGAAGACGCCACAGGCCCTGGGCACGCTGCTCTATCGACATCACGAGGTACTCAACAATCTGCTCGATAGTAAATTGCGCAACAAGACGCGATGTGTACTGCATTCGCTGGACGCCTTCCGTGCCAAACCCTTCTCGGAGACCTGGCGAGAAGTGTGGTCCGCCATGAAGAGCAACTGCCGCAACGAGTTGACGATCATCGAAACCAAGGAGCTGCACGATGTGCTCGAAAACTATCTAAAGAAGCACAAGTTCTGCTCTGGCTGTCGGACAAAGGTGAGAATGGAATAGGTAAAGGTCAAGGATATACCTAATCTGCTTGCCTCTTCGTAGATTGAACGCGCCTATAAAATACTCATTGGTGAAATCTCCTCCAAAGAGAAGGGCTATGCTGCTCAACTGTATGCGCACATCCGCAAGTGTGTTCCCGACCAGCACATACACGTGAACACGAATAAAATTGAGTTCCTCGATGCCCTGATCAAGCGTGCTGAGCCTGAGGTGAACGGCAGCTACTCGAAACTGCGCGAAAGGCACGCCAAAACGCTGGAGATCGCCCAGGAGGAGGTGCTCACCTGCGTGGGGATGATCATGTACGAACGGCTTCGACGCATTTACGTAAGTCTGCGCGAGGAGGAGCGCGCCTGCCAAGTGCTGGCTGCTGTGGGCGTGCACGCACTTTGTCGCAGCTTTGATACATTCGTGGAGCAAAAGCAGGGCATCAGCAATTTGGAGCTGCTCTACCAGGAAATTAGTCGCGCTGAGAAGGCCAAGGAGCTCAAGCGTGAGCTGAAGAAGCTCAAGAAGAAGAGGAGGAAAGATGAGAAAAAGAACTTGCATCGCCAGTGCGAAGAGAGCGCGGACGCGGATGTAGACGCGGACGCAGGCGAGTCTGATGATGAGGAAGAAGATGTAGATGTGGATATCGATGCGGATGCGGATGTGGATCTGGAAGAACATTTGGAGCTTAACGATGTAGGTGTCGACGATGGCATTGTCACGGAGGCAGTAACTCTCGTGCCAGAGCCGGAGCCAACGACTCCTACCAATGACAAGCCAACGAAATCGAAAGCGAAGAAGCAATCTAAGAAAAAGAAGCAGAAATCTGCCTCCAAAAAAGTCATCACGAAGCAACAGCCAAGGCCGGCGGTCTCGGCTCCTCAGCACCTGTATGATGAGCACTTGGACGTCGCCAGTTGCGTTTCATCGAATGTTGCTAAGCAGCCAAACGGTGTTGGCAAGTGTGACGAATGTTTGGCGTCTATGCCAAACTGTCCTTGTGAGCAGGATGTACGGGATTCTGGCTATGGAAGCGATCCCACTTCGCACATCAATTCCCGTACCTCCAGCGTGGTCTCGTCACCCGAAGGGTCGGAGGTCTCGTGCTCAGATGGACTGTGCAATCACGACGGCCCCCTGGATGAGGATCAGCAGAATGGATTAGATGTTGCCGAACGCAACAGCTTCGTCTCTGATATACTCTACTGCCACCATCCGCAGTTTGAGCACAAGTTTTCATTGTTGCAGATGTGGGTGAGTTCGTTGACTGATCGTTGATCGTTGGCACTGATGGCATCTGTCACACATAGGATGGCCGAAAACTGGAGCAGGATTGCCTCTGAACTCTATACAAATTTTTAACTCATTTATCTATTCGTACTTTGTGTTGCAGGACGACTTTGACGACTACGATAAGGACGATGAAAACTATTACATTCCCCAAGAGGTGGTGCTGGCCTTCAAGTACCACCACGCGGAGGTGAGGCAGCAGCGCGAGCGACTCCGTGCCACTCTGCGAGAGAACTTCGAGCGCCTGTGCCTGCAGCGGGGTGTGCGAACACAATATGCTGCAGCAACCGCAGCCACCTCAGTTGGCCATTAAAAATGCATTAAACCGTTGTAGTTATTCAGTCGAGCGATGCGATTTCTAAAAATCCGCACGCATGCATTCAAATACATATAATATTTTGTTTGAAATAAATGAAGTATACAAGTTATGCTTATAAAGATATATATTTAATCTGAATCTTCAGCAGTTGCGACACTCTTCATGGAAGGGCTCCAGAGTGCGCAGATCCCGCCACGTGGGCGGCAGGCCGTTGGCTATGTACTTGCTGCAGCGTTTGCAGGGTTCGAGGAAGAGCTTAATGTGGCTATTTAGCCAGGTCACATAGCTCTTCACCGCCAGGTCGGGTAGCGTAGGGGAGAAAAAGTGCAGCATGGCAGAGTGGGCGTGCTCCTGGACTTTGCGGAATACCTCGTAGCGCGACTCCGCCCACAGGTCATCCTGCTCGAGCGGCTCGTCGTAGCCCTTCACCGTCACCCACTCAATGAGCACGCCCTTAAACACGATGGCCGCCTTCAGTACATTGCTGATGGTTACGATCGCTACGGCGTTGGACCCAAACGGACGGAATACTCTGTATGAGGTGTGCGGCGGGGTGTTGATTTCGCTCAGCAGTTTGTCTATATGGCTGCGTAATCAAATAGGATTCGGGGTTAGTGTCAGCCAGTGCGTATACGTATAGCTCTGCCCCGCAAACTTACTCCGGATCATTGTTGAACGAAGAGAACGGCAGGCGCGGGCGCTTTTGAGAGCAGTAGTTGTACGACCTCCGCAGCGTGTTCTGGTTGAGATTGTTGAAGGCCAGGAAGCTGTGATCGTGCACCTTGTCGATCCACTTGTAGCTATTCACCAGCTGTGGATACAGAGCCTGCCGGTCCTGGGATGTCTCCTGGGCCAGGTACGCCGTATTTCCCAGGGAGTAGGCCGTGGGCGGCACTTGCAACCCATTGATCAACTGCTCCACTTCACTGCAAGGCATTAATCCATGATATACACCAACAACACAATGATTTTCTCAATTCCCTTACCGCAATTGTGAATTTATGGCTCCGAATTTCTCCTGAAAATCGTGGACAAACTTGTTTCGGCTTTCTTCCACTCCCTCCCCATCGGTGCCATCGGCCAAGTGTTCAAAGCACTGTCGTACATTAGAGCGCAGGTTCTTAACAGCAGTCAGGGTACAATTTAACTTATCCATTTATATTAATAAATAATTTAAAAACAATGTTTTTGTTATTAAGTCCAGTGTGACCGCGGATTTGACCATTACATATACGGTCTGACCCTCAAAAATATACCGAATCACAGTTTCAAAATATACCTTAAATATACCGGCGAACTATTTCTATTCATATTCTTCGATTTGTTAGTTAATTGGTAATTACTGGTTAATTTACAGCATCTTTATAAGATTATTTATAAAATAAGGCTTAAACAAAAAGGTCAACAACAATTTCCACAAACTTAATTATTTATACATTATAACTACACGCTAACTACACATTTGCTACTTATTAACTACATTTTATGTAATTATCAAAAGCGAACCTGAAGGGGAAATGTGTATAGACCCATACCTATTGATATATAAGACCCAAGACCCTGGGATCTAATCCAGAAAGATTGTTTGCGACATGTTCAGTGTATGAACTGGAACATCTGTACGGTAATGGTTAAACCTCGGAAAATAATACTATGTATACGTAAATTGTTCTTGTAGGTCTTTCACCTGACTACGCAAACATTATTCGAGATATATAATTTTCGTTGGGTTTATTTTAATGCCTACTGGTCGACAACGGGCTTATCGTTCTCTACCCAAGAGTTGGAAATCAGTTTACTCGATTTGTATCGTTATTGGGCATGATATCCTTTAATTAATATTCGAATGTTTTCCAAGCTTCTATGAAACGAAATTGTGACTTTTTCTTAGAATGAAATGAAGGAAATGTTTCTTACCTATTCATGCATTTGAAATTTGGTCTTCGTAAGAACTTTTAAGAAGACAATAAACCCAAAATGTCTAGTTTTAAAACTGAGACTGAGGACACTCAGTAAGTCGCCTGTAATTAGAGTGTCGTGTCATAAGACCATAACCGCCGAATTCAATTTCAGCTTATCGCACAAAAATATCGATATTTGAAACGATCCGTGCTGAACATGAAAATACAATCGAAGCTGGTAGACATATAAGAATTATGCTGTCAATTCAACAAAAGAAAAATAGTATTAATTGCATTGCTCCAAATTCAGAAGATTGTAGTTCAGTTAATAGATTCCAAGGACATAAATATATTGTCAAAAGTTATCGATGTACTGATATATTATATACTCTCATCCCTATTGCATCCGAATTGATTATATTCAGCGGGTGCCAAAATTTTAAGCAAAATTGCAACGGCGAGATGGGCAACAAGTCATCACTGTTCCTCCGGAACGAGGAGATAGCGCAGATTCAGGAGGAAACTGGTTGTAAGTACAAAACTGGGGCGGCAATAACCTTGGCCAAGAAGTCATCAGAATGGAAACTACTTTCGAAACCAATACGCATTTGGACATCATGTACAATCCAATCCACTCATTGGACTGGCCTGGCCTGCCCCAATTGTCGCACTTGAGCGCTAAAAGCTGTTCAATTACTTGTACAAATATTTGTGCTACCGTGCGTGGCTGCGCTGGCTGGTTCCATAGACTATCAGTAGCTTTGCTCAAGGGCGTCTGGGGTTTGTTTGTACGTTGCTGTGTTGTGGGTGCTCTAAAAAACGAAAATACATATTTACTTATTAAAAAAGCATCCGCACGATGCGCTTGCCTTATGCAAGAGCTATATGCACAGCCGTTTTCCAGCAATCAATTTGCATTACAATTACAATTGCACCTGTACGCTCCGAGTGACGTCATCGGCAATCGCCCCCCTTTTAGTAGCTATTTGTCGTCTGGGGGGCAAAAGTCGGCGCTTATCTATGCCTTTGACTGGAATGAAGCAATTATCTAGTGTCCGAGACCGTGTAAATGCGATAAGCTCAAAGTTTCCCACAATTGAAATAGCCGCCACCTCGTCGGACTTGTATCCAGTGCTGTTCGACCAGCTAGTATCAGTTCCCTGATAAGAGCTGATAATTCAGGTGAATTTTATAACTAATAATTTCGACTCATTCGCAGTTACTCCCAACCAAATCGAGAGATTGTACTCGCGCTTCACGTCGTTGGATCGCAACGACTGCGGGACCCTCTCCCGCGAGGACCTGATGCGGATCCCGGAGCTGGCCATCAATCCGCTGTGCGAGCGCATCGTCCACTCGTTCTTCGCCGAGAGCACCGACGATCGGGTGAACTTTCGGCAGTTCATGAACGTGCTGGCCCACTTCCGTCCGCTGAGGGATAACAAGCAGAGCATGCTCAACAGCCGGGAGGAGAAGCTGAAGTTCGCCTTCAAGATGTATGACCTTGATGACGACGGCGTGATTAGCCGGGACGAGCTGCTCTCCATTCTGCACATGATGGTGGGCGCCAACATCAGCCAGGACCAGCTGGTCAGCATTGCGGAGCGCACAATCCTGGAGGCAGACCTCTGCTGCCAGGGCAAGATATCGTTCGAGGACTTCTGCAAGGCCCTAGACCGCACCGACGTCGACACAAAGATGTCCATAAGGTTTCTCAACTGAGGCCAAGATACAATCCTGGACCAGAGACATAGATAGAGAGAGAGCAAGCTTTTTAGTCAGTGTGTACCAAATAGTTTAGGACGGAGGTGGAGTCTACCGAGAGGCATAACTTGTATTAGTAGTCGTTATGGAAGTGTGGCCGGTGCGGCCCGCACTTGATACAATTCTTAATTCTTCTTTATTCCGCTGTAATTTAAGGTTTTGAGGGCATTTTGTTTTTAGTTGCTTGCAAATAAAGGCCAACAGCGTGTCATTTAAATTGTTGAACATAATTTGAATAGTTTATTGTGTGTCTCAGACGATCAGATGATCAAGTGGAATATCTGTTGCATGTTTATATCTGTATCTGTGATTGCATTGCCTTGGCCAAAAGGATTCCAAAAGGATCAGCTCGTTCGGTATTTGAAGAATCTTAGGTAGAATAGAACCCTCCTAGTGGTGCTCCTCTCATCGTTGGGCGATTCATGTGGTTGTGGAGACGGCCAGCTTCTTGAGATGTTCCATGAACAGCTGCAGCGAGACATCGTCGGTGAGTACGGGAGCTCCGCCGTCCTGTCAAGACATGCCAAAAGAGAATTAGTTAAATGATGGGCAGGGACGGGGTTCGTGCAGTTCGGACAGGAGGGGAAATGAGAGCTAAACCAGCACCAACAAAACAGCTTAGAAACTACATAATAAAGCAGATTCCCAGTGAACAGTAAACAGTAAAAATGTACTACCGTCGTCTGACCAATGGCCGGCTGCGAATGACAGGGATACGGATACGGAAACGGAAACGTATGCACAATGAGTGAAACAAAACCAAACATAAAACGAGAATTTGTTTAAGAAAATGCTGCAAAGATCTGTCGAGAGTTAGCCAGCCGAGCTGTTGGCTGGCTGGCACTTACCTGCCCATAGGCATACATGTTGTTGTGCGTCTGCGAGGGATTGACCTTCGAGAGCAGGAAGCGCGCCTGCGAGCCGCCGTGCTCGGTGTCGATGTAGCGTGGCATGGGGAAGCGAGTCTGCAGGATCTCCTGGGCATCGTCCACGGGGGCCTGCAGCAGCTGCTTGAAGTTCTCGTACTCGGGCATGTCCTGGTACTTGAGGGCTCGCCACTGGGCAATCGTCTCACCGTGATAGATGAGTATCTGGAAGAATGTGTCCATCAGCAGAATGCGATCGGCCTGGATCGAGGCGGTGTCCAGCAGCACGGGCTCGGGCGGTCCGTTGAACGAGTAGCTATAGAGTATCGGCTGTATCATGATCAACGACTGGGTGAGGTCCTCGCGCATCAGCATGTGTCGGTAGAATGTGGTCTCGTCGGGCGAATTGTTGAAGACCTGCAGGAACTGCGAGCGGCGCAGGTGGTACATGAACTGCGGGAACAGACTGAAGTTCTGCGACAGCCGGAAACTGTTGGGATCGTCCTTGGTGTACTCGCCGAACTTTTGGCACTGCAATTAGGGATTATTGTCGATTCATAAGAGAACTTCTCTCCGACGAGTAATCAATGCTATGTACTCACCAGGCGAATCAGCTGACGATCAACCCAGCGCAGAATATCAGGTCCCTCATCCGTCTCCGCGCGGTAGACAACCATGCGGGCCATAAGGACGGCGGCAGCTTCCTGGTCAAAGCCAGCACTGATATGATGCACATTTGTGGTGGCATCAGCCCAGCTGTACATGAAGAGAAACAGAATTAAGAGAAATTACTGAATGCTAGCTGCGTCACTTCCTGGCCACTCCCTGGCACTCACTTTCTGGCCAATGTCGTGACGCGAATGCGCCGCTGACCGCTCGGATGCTGATACTGTGTTATAAACTGTATGCAGCCGCGTCCGCCCTGGGGAATGGGAGCGGCGTGCTGGTTGACAACCTCGAAGAAGTAGGCCACCGTGGAGCTGGGATTCAGAGTGCAAAGCTTCCACTGCACCGTGTTGCCCATGCCGATCTCCACATCCGACACCGACGGGCTCTTCACATTCAGCGACACACACGAGCCGATACCTCCGGATATTTTTAGCTCGCGCGAGCACTTCACTTCCAGTGTGGCATTGAATGCCATTTTCAGATCGTTGCGGCTGTCGCGCGCAAACACGCGTTGGAATGTCTGCTTGAACAGCGACGAGTTGAACGAGTCGCCCATGACCATATGCCCGCCCGTGGAGTTGCACAGCTGCTTCATCTCGAGGAGGCCAGTCTGGTCGAGGGCGCACGAGTAGATGTCGACGCTGTGCCCATTGGTGGCGGCACGCAGGGCCAGCGCATCGAAGTGCTTGATGGCCTTTTTCATGAACTTGACGTTGTCCTTGTGAATGTCATGGTGAGAGCGAATCGGATGCTTCAGCTCGTCGTCGACCACTTGGCCGGGGCCCTGGGAGCAAGGACCACCGACGAAGGACATAATCCGACCACCCGTGTTCGGGTAGGTGCACTCCAGCAGGCCAACTGCTATCGAGAGAGCAGCGCCCGTGGAGCGCAGGTAGCGCTTGCCCTGCGGCACCGGCCAAGGGTCGCGCTGTAGCTCGCTGAGCAGATCACCCAGTGCCGCATCGCACTGGCTGATCGGCTGCAGGAAACGATGAGCTGGCGGCACAGGTGCTCCTGCTGCCGGGGCATTCGGCCGTTGCTGTCCGGGCATTGCCTGGCCCGGCTGCTGAGGGCCCGGAGCAGCGCCGCGTCCGATTCCGAGCATGTCCTGCACCTGCTTGGCCGTCAAGTCCTTGGTGCCGCGGAACACGTAGCTCTTGGAGCAGCCCTCGGCTCCCAGCTCATGCACTTGTATCATCTTGCCGAACGTAATCAGTCCGACCAGGGCATTGGGCGGCAGCAGACTGAGCGACATCTGCAGCGAATCTTTGAGGGCGTCCAGCTCCTCCTCGTCCATGCAGGTGTCGACGAGGAAAATGAAGACTGGAGGCATGGTCGGAGCCCTGGTAATGGTGTACTCAATGGTGCTGAATCCGGGGATCAGCTCAGCGGGCTGATGTTGTTCCGAAATGGCCGCATATTGAGGGGGAAACTGAAACAAACAACGTCAAGGCAAAGTTCAAGTAAAAAATGGGACTGAGTCACTGTCGCATCTTCTACTCACGGGATTGCGCTGGAAACAAAAGTTGCACACCCACAACTTGGCACGGTAGTCCACCTGGCACAGGGGGTTCAGAATGGCCCGACAGTTGCTGCGTGTGCACAGAACGGGCTCATATTGTATAGGTGGCAAGTCGGGGCGCTCCTTCAGCGGCTGGTAAAGACAAGCAAGCGGCACGACCAAACGACTGGCATCAATGCGACTCGAGGGCCACACATTCCACGTCAGACGCACTCCGTCGCGGTCCTCGTTCTGCTGGATGAACTCCTCGTAGGTAGTCATCGTGAAAAGCCTAAATTATCTATTAATAGTTGATTATAAATTGATACTAAGTTTGCTTGCTAATTGGAAAAATCGGTCGGCCAGGCCACGTCACGGATTTGACAGCTAGTTGTGTAGCAAGCAGCTTCGCGACGTGACGCACAACTTCCAAACAAATGCAGTCAAAATTTATCAAAATCAAAAAAAGTACCTTTTTGATTAAAACAAATTTATTTTAATTTAATATTTTTAATTCAGCCGTCTTTCCGTCTTCAATGCAGTTTATTCTGTGAACTAGAAATTTCAACGATACTATTGCATGGGAAACGGTTTTGTATTGAATTTCATATGTCAACATACAACTGATTTATTGTTTTAGTGTATGCATATGTATTAATATACACAATTAGATATTTAATTATGATTCTGACAATCGGAAACTACCCGTTTAAATTAATTTTTAGGAAAAAATAAATAAATCCCATGTAAATTGAACGATGTATCGATAAGAGAAAGTATCAACAGTCAAAATGCAGCCCTGATGCAGCTGTTTACTCGGCGTTGTGTGTGTGTATTTTTTAGAGTTGAGTTGTTTCTAAGATGGCGACGAAAAAAACGCGTCTTATGTGAAATGCAAATGCAATCATAACAACTTCAGTTTTATGCTAATAAATGTGCGCTGACTTGAAACAAAACTATTAAAAAACAGTGCTGAGCAAGTGTATGCAATTTTACATGTGAAAGTTTGGTGCGAAACTGTAGTGAAAATGGCCACAAATATGTATCGAGTCGGAGGTGAGAAAATTTTTTCCGTACTCGCTTTTCTATCATCTTTCGTTATCGGCGCCGCCGTCTCACAGTTTCGCCTGGCCATCGTATGCATATGTGTGTGTGTGTATGTGTGTGTTTTGTCTGAGGAGAGACTCCAGAGCAAGGAATAATGAAAGTGCATTTTAATTAAAACAAATTCTTAGCTGGAGCTCCCATTCATAGACATGTGTGTTATCAAAAGCATTGATAAACCCCTCTGACCGCCAATAAGAACCTGCTCCCGAAATATGTGCTTGGTGTTTGTTAAATGCCGCAATGAGACGAGCTTCTACAGCGTAGATGATGTGTCGAAATCAACCATGAAACATTGGACAACGGCGAGCCTAGGAAGCAGATAGGGTGCTGGTGGTGGGGGGTTGTGCATTGAACCAACAAAATTGTCGCAGCTGCAGCAAGTGTTTCAACATGTTCCTCCCGATAAGCACCAGAGCTCGTTTGCTGGCCGTGTGTGTGTGTGCGCGCGGCGTATGCTTTAGGGTTGGGGTAATGATGGAACCGAAATGGAATTGCATTTGCCAAATTGTGATTTCTATCGGTGTGTGTGTGTGTGTGTTCGTGTACTTGTGTGCTTGTGTGGGTAAAAGTGTATCTCATTTTTGTATGCCTCCATGCTTTGTTGTGTTTTCTTATGCTAATGAGCTTTTTCGGGTTTTGGCCGAGCATCTTATGGTTTGGTTTGGGTTCTGAGCGAGTTGGTTGCCCCTGCTCCTCCTGTCTTTACGCACTTTGCACGTTGGCCTATCGCCGGCTCGCTCTCTTCCCAGCGATGACGTTGCCGCTCTCTCGATATGTAAATGAACGGAAAAAGCAAACGGCTAATTAACAGAATCAAAATAAATACCCAAAGTATATTAACACCGATGAGGGAATATGAACATATATATATTATATCTGATTGGTTTTCTGGCAGTTTTCCTGGCGATTACTCGGCCCCGACCCATTCTGTCTCAGAATTTTGTCTCCATAAGCGCTTTTTGTTTGCCATTTTTAATGGCCACGCACACGCACACACTGACAAATACGCCAAGTATAGGTAGATATGTATATACGAGCGCGACCACACTTTCTTTTTCATCTCTCTCCATCTTGCATGGCCAGCGAAATGTTACCAAATGTGCCCAAGACAAGACAAGACACAGCACAGTTTTAGTTTCCTTTTAGTTATTTTTCTTTGCAATGCTCAGTGTTTTTTTTTTTTTTTCGTCTTCTAACATTTTATTGCCGTGTGGTCAGCCCCAAGCAACGGTATCGTATCTGTTTCTGCGACAGGTTCCGATGCAGCGATCACGCTGCAGTTGTTGTTGTTTTTCCTTCTGCTGCTGCTTTGCTCGATGGATGGATGGATGCCCACATTTGTATTTAATTGAGCAACGCAACGCGCATACCTTTGACTGTGTGTGTGTGTGTTTGTGCGTGTGTGTGTGGCCGTAATTAAGCGGCATGTCCACGTATGCATGTGTGCGTTTACCTGTGACGTATGTAATGCCTGCTAATGAATGGAGTTGCAATGTGAAGCTCCCCTCCACGCCACGCCACACCGCGCCGCGATGCCTCCCTTCTCGATTCGACTCCATGTACAGTTGTGGTAACCCCCGTTCGTTTCGTTGCAGACTACGTGTACGTTGAGACAACGCCGAATAGTCCCTATCTGATACGCCGCATCGAGGAGCTGAACAAGAACCAAACCGGCAATGTGGAGGCGAAGGTCATGTGCTTCTACCGGCGTCGTGATCTGCCCAACCCACTGGTGCAGCTGGCCGACAAGCATCAACGTAAGTATCCGCCAGTTGTGGTCGCTTAAGAACCAACCAAACGATTCTCTTTTTATTTTTTTCGTATTTATTTTTGTTGGCAACAAAGTGAGGTTAGGTTGCGAAAAGTCGTCGTCGCCGTCGTTGTCGTGGCCTTCAAACAAGTTTAAAGCTAATACCTTCCAAAAACAGATCCCTAGCACCAAGCACATTTTCACCACAAACACCAAAAACCAGAACTCTGTTCCCAGAGCGGGCACCCATCCACCACCCATACCGCCCAGGAAGACGGCCAGTGTGCAATGTGTCAAGGCATCCACTTTCATCCAGCCACCCATAGCCACCCATAGCCACCCACAGCCACCATCACCCTCACTCCCATCAAAGCCAAACATCAAGAGCAACAAGAACCGCAATGACAACAACTGTAAAGCACACAGCAGCAGCGCACAAAGTGAAGAGAAAACGGAATACCCAGCATCCGTAGCAGCAGAACCAGCAGAACCAGCAGAAGCACCAGAAACAGCAGCAGCAACGACCAGCCAGAGCCACATAAACATAATGTGTTGAGCTGCACTGTACCCCCATGTTGCTGTTGCTGTTGCCGTTGCTGTTGCTGTTGCTGTTTTCGGTTGCTGCTAGGCGGCGCCAATGCCAACGCCAACGCCAGTGCCAGTGCCAGCGTCAATGTGAATGTGATACTCTCGAGAGTAGTAGGTAGACTTGCTGTCTACCTCTGAATGCTACAAAATACAAACATACATACATACATACATATATATATGTATGATTCTGGGTCTCTGTGTGTGTGTGTATGAAAATTTTCATGAGTGCTGTAGAAAAAGAAGGTGGTAGGAGGACAGGAGAGGAGAGGGGAAGTGGGATCAGGAGCCATACCCCAATGTGGCACACGCAGAGGCGCGCTTTGCATTCATGTATACATACACACAGGCAGGGCTCGCCTCCCATTTCATTTCCCCCCTCCGCCCTCTCTCCGCAGCCCCAAAAAAGCATGCCGGACTTTAATGAATGGGGTGGGGTACGATGGGATTCGACCAGTGCGGCCCCCTCGAACTCGATACGTGACCCAACGAAAATGCGTTTTCCGTGAGGAAGCCAAACCCCTTCCCAAGCCATCCCATGCCATCCAGCAGCACACTCGCCCTACGACATGCGCCGACAATGCCCATTAACGCAACCCCTTTAGCTCCCAACATGGGTCCGCTGTCATCTTGTTTCTGCTGCTGGCCAGTGGAGCTGGAGCTCACGCTGAAGCTGAAGCGAGCGAGTTTCCAGTGCGTGCGCCGTGCGCCGCCTTTTGGCAGGCCGCTCACTAATCAGGCAAAAATTAGCACAAAAATCTAAAGTTTGAGCACAAGTGTGCCGCTATTCCAACCCCGAAAGGCGACTGCTTCGCGGCCTACGACGCGTGCATACCCTGCAGTCCAGTCCGATGATAGCCTCTCGAATGCTGAAGTGCTATTATGGTTGCGGCTAGGCCTAGCAGTCATAATTTATTGTTGCTGAAGTGTAAACCACAAAGTCAATAGAAATGGACATCAGGCGAGGCGCAGGGTACACAAAATCTCAAAAATACCCAAAACGGCTCCCTCCCACGGCGGGCAAACGAATCCGACCAAGCCCCACCCACTAGTGGGCCTTTTACTTGCCCGTGGCTGTGTGTCTGTGTGTGTGTGTGTCCTATCTATGGCCGCCAAACAGCCACTCACCCCCAACCAGCCAGCACGCCAACCTGAACCCCAACCCCCACCCCTGGCTGCTGTCGTTGTCTTCTCTCCGATGAGAGCTACAAACACAAATACATAAAAAACACCTACTACCTCCGTTCCTTGGCTCTGGCTGTAACTCCAGCAATGCACCCACGCCCCTGTGTATCCGTGTTCATCTGAGGGGGTGGGCTGCACGCCCTTTCCAGAGTCAGGATAACGGTCTGAGGTGGGTGGGTATGGCAAGGTAAATATTTTGTAATCAGCCCCCGCAAAGTTTAAGGAAAATAAAATCCTTGCTATCACGCATCCCGAAAAGATAGGATTGGAACTAAAGAAATAATTAAAATAACAAGGTTCAAGGTTTTTTACTCAAAGATTACTCTGAGGTTTCGTACTTTCGGTGGCTCCTAATTGACAAGTAAAACACCCATTGAGCAGAACGATAGTTATAGGAGTTGAATAATACCTTGGGTTCCTTCCCATACCGGGATAGTTCCTATGTTTCATGGTATTTGTGGGACAAATAAAATTCAATAAAAATGAAAATGTTTCTGTGTTTTACGACCTTTTTTTTTGAGCAGACACGCAAACCGAAAGCCAGTTTGGCTTAAATTAAAGGATACACAAAACAGATACATTTCTTGGACACAAGCTTCATGTTTTTATCATTAATGTTTCCCCTAATGCAATTAAAAACATTTTATGGATCTTGGATGTTTAGCACATTTTAGCAAACAATAAACTTTAAAAAAAACCTTAAAATTCTTAAAAAAGATTACATAAAATCCGCAGGCACGACATTTTGAACCTTTGACCAACAACATCATGGTGCGAAGAGTAGAGAATTTCCCATAACTGGGGAAATTGTTTCAGTCTTTTATAGGTACTGCCCTTGAGTTTAACACCGGTATTTAGCTTTGAACTTCCTATCAAGGCTTTTCATTATATTGCTGACTTGTCGAATTCCCGTTTTTCTGGATTCTTTAAATCTTTTAACGTCATCGAAGAGTTCTTGCTCCGAGGTCGCTGCTTCTTCGCTTAGCATGTCCTTCAATAGAGCTGCCTTCTCGACTACAAGCTCGTTTGCCCTGGCCATATGGTTCATGTCGTATCCCAATATGACCCGATTAAGTCCCCGCTTAATTTCAACGAAAGATGCTAGAAATTCGCACAAATGAATCCTGTCCGACTTCGTCACCGACTCCGTAACCGACTCCGTCACCGACTCCGACTCGGACTCACTTGGTGCGTGACTCTCCGGATCATTGGGAACGGCATTAGCCAGGCTCTGCGGATCGATTGGAAAGATTCTGATTCTTGTTTATTTCTCACAGAAAAAGTTCTCACCAGAACGGCCAGAGCTATAATCAAACAGGACTGCATCTTGCAATGTTTTAAATGGAACTGCAATTTTCCGATCGTGCGGGATAGTTTTTATAGTATTCGTGGATGTACTATTTTTCCATGGGTTGCGGCAATTATCGCCGTTTTCTAAAAATACGCACGACCGGCGGGTTCATCCAACTGGAATATAATATTTATTAATTGTTCAGTTGATAGTGCCATTTCTTTCGGTCCACCGATGTTGATCATATTGAAATATACTACTACTATGTATATGCATTCGATCTAAGTATTATACACTTGGAATATAGCAACTTTACGAGAATGATAAAATGAAGAAAAGTCTTTCTTTAATTAAGCGGCGGTGGGCAGGGTTTTTGAATTTGTTAGCGGTCCAAAAATCAACCCTTATCAGCGAAAGTCAGTCACACACACGACATGTATTTTGTTTTTGCTTTCTAGGGACCTCGCAGCAGCAGTCCACTTGTGTATTTTGCCAATAGATTCTCGGGCTGCATCCATGCAAGGTTTTCGTACTCTTTTGCATTTTTCGGGCTGGTCTTCTCTTCCTCGAAGAGTATACCTCCAAGCATTGGGGGAAGAGGCTTTAATACACTCTAGAATTCGATGCCGGCTTTCCTTCCAGACGACGACTTGGAGTATTGTTCTTTCTGTTTTTGTAATTAACCTCATTTTGAGCTGCAGAATTTGTATTTATTATTTAATGATTATTTACCATTGCTTGAAACATGATCATTTGTAAATAAACGTATTTCCCCAACGTATTGCACAAAACGATAAACAAACAAAAAAAACAAAAAACAGTGGCCACAGCCGAGGACTCACCGCTGGCGACCAAGCTGAAGAAGACCTGGCTCCGCACACCCGTGGGCGAGGAGCAGGCGGCGCAGGCCGTGCTCGACCCCTCAATAGGTACTGCTAAAAAAAACCACAACAGCTTTCAACTTTAAACGTAGTTCGAACTCTCTAATTTGGGAATGCCATCTGTTTAATTAGATCTATATATACCCTTAATCAGTATCCCCTATCACCTTATACCCCTTACCCCTTATCCCCCTATTCCTATGATTTTATGTTTGTCAAAGCTCTCGCTGCTATATTTTTTTGTTCAGTTGGTAATTGATGTTGTGTAGATCTCTCACCCCCCCTCTCTCTCTCTCTCTCTCTCTCTCTCTCTTTCGATCTCTTTTTTCTCTCGATTGATTCTCTTGGTGCACTAACGGTATTGATTGTCTGATTTCCAGCTGCCTTGGACGAGGAGCGCACCAGTCCGACGCAAGCGTCTGGCGGCGGCGGCAGTGGCAGTGGCAGTGGTAGTGCATCTGCAACCAGCAACAATGCCGGCAGCACCACCACCAACAACAATAACAATAATAATAACAACAACAACAGCAGCAGCAGTGGTAGCGGCAGTGGCAGTGGCAGCGGCAGTGGCAGCGGCAGCGGAGGCGATGCGGAAAAGGGCGAGGCGCTGACCAGCAAACAGCGCTACCAGATCAAGCACCGCGAGCTGTTCCTCTCACGCCAAGTCGAATCGATACCCGCCACACAGATACGAGGCAAGTGCTCCGTGACGCTGCTCAACGAGACGGAGTCCCTGCAGAGTTATCTAAATAAAGACGTGAGTCGTAGTTGGTAGCGCGGCAGAGGCAGACAATAATCACCTATTTACATTGTGACGTCTTGCAGGACACATTCTTCTACTGTCTGGTCTTCGATCCGAATCAGAAAACACTTCTCGCCGACAAGGGCGAGATACGTGTCGGCAGTCGCTATCAGTGTGATATTCCCGCCAAGCTAAAAGACACAGTCACGGACGAGCGCAAGCTCGAGGAGCTGGAGTCGCTGGTATGGACGCCGGAGCACACACTGACGGATCGTAAGATCGATCAGTTCCTCGTCGTTTCGCGTTCCATTGGCACCTTCGCCCGCGCCCTCGACTGCAGCAGTTCTGTGAAGCAGCCCTCGTTGCACATGTCGGCAGCGGCTGCCAGTCGGGACATTACACTGGTATGCAATAGAAAACTAATCCTCATTTTTGCTTGTATTGATGATGGTGGTGTTCTCTTTAGTTTCACGCCATGAACATTCTGCACAAGCACGACTACTCGATTGAGGAGGCCATGTCCTCGCTAGTTCCTGTCAGTGGACCGGTGCTCTGTCGCGATGAAATCGAGGACTGGAGCGCCTCGGAGGCAAATCTCTTCGAGGAAGCGCTGGACAAATATGGCAAAGACTTTAACGACATTCGACAAGATTTCGTAAGGACTATCTATCTATCCATCTGTAACTATTGTGGGACCACTTCTAAATCCTCCTTCTATTTGTCCGATTTTAGCTGCCTTGGAAAACTCTGAAGCAAATCATCGAGTACTACTACATGTGGAAGACCACCGATCGCTATGTGCAGCAGAAGCGCGTGAAGGCCGTCGAGGCGGAGCTGAAGCTCAAACAGGTCTACATACCGCAATACAATAATAATGGTGGCAAGGGCGGCGGCAACGGAGCCTCTGTCAAGGCGGGTAGTGGCGGTGGCGGCATTTACAATGGCACCACCAACGGGGGCACCGATCTCTCAAGCAACGGCAAACCCTGCGAGTCGTGCGGAACAACTAAATCATCACAGGTATGGCACATAGAACAGCAACCCACTCTGCAGACAGTTCTTAAAAGTCTCCCTCCCCCTTGCAGTGGAACTCGTTTAGCACCGGCCACATAACGTGTCGTCTCTGCCAAAGCTGTTGGGAGTACTGGCGGAGGTACGGCAGTATGAAATCCGCGAATAAGGGCGACGCCAGCAGCGACAGTGATGCAAAGAAGAAGGCCTTGGCTGCGACGACCCCTACGGCTACCGCTGCAGCTGCGGCTACAACACCCACAGCCGTAGTCGACCTCAACGATGACGAGAAAATCAGTGATCTAACCAATCGTCAGCTGCACAGGTAAGTGCCTCTCCTCTCCCATCCAAAGACGATCGAGAATGTCCCTCATATCTTACCACAATTGCCATTCGGATAGGTGTTCAATTGTCAATTGCGGCAAGGAGTTCAAGCTGAAGACCCACCTGGCACGCCACTATGCGCAAGCGCATGGTATTGCCATCAGCTCCGGTTCTCCGCGCCCCATCATGAAGACGCGCACTGCCTTCTACTTACACACCAATCCCATGACGCGCGTGGCGCGCATTATCTGTCGCAGCATTGTCAAGCCCAAGAAGGCGGCGCGACAAAGCGCCTACGCCATCAATGGCCTGCTGGTGAAGCAAGAATGTAAGTCTCGATGTCTGGCTGCTTACATTTCTGACGCACTCTTCTCTTTCTCCCACTCTTTAGTTACGAATCGTATTAGCGGCAAATCTCAGGCGGAGATCAAGAAGCTGCTATTGCTCAAGCCCAAGGATCGTGGCAGTGTTACTAAGATCGCCAATCGCCTGGGGGCGCCCGGCAGCGGTCCCCACGAGTGGCTGGTGCTGACGCCCAAGGACAAAATGCCACTGCCCGCTGTCGTCTCATTCCCCAAGCCGCCCAAAGCAGCGGATGGCAGTTTAGTCTACGATCGCGTTCCCAACAAATCCCCCGACATTGTGGCCGTGCCGGCCGAGAAAGAACTAACAATAATTCCAACGCATGCCACATCAACGATACGAAAGCGGGCGCACGAGGAGCAGCAGCTGAACGGCACTGAAGGTATATTGTATATTTTTGTTTCCTGTCAGATACATATCATATTATATTTATTCCAAAATTTAGTAACTATAGTTCCCAGTGGACCGCCTCCAAAAAGGCCGAACAAAGATCCTATGCCCTCGCATTGTCCTAGTCCCGAACAGTTTGCGGCCATGATGGCGGCATCGGGACAGCCACTCTCAAGGCACCATGTGAGTCACCGCCAGATCTGATCTGAGCTTGATCTGATCCCGATTGACAACGATTCCATTCACTCTTTCAGCTCAATGGCAAGCAGAAGATTGCGCAAATGGCACGAGGCGGAAACGGACGTAAGCAAGTCATTAGTTGGATGGATGCGCCGGACGATGTTTACTTTAGGGCCAACGAAACACACAAGTGAGTTGAAGACAGAGTTCAGACCTAAAGCAGCTCCTCAAATTCTTGCTTCATTTGCAGAAAAACGCGAAAAATACTCTCAGCCGTGGAGCTGCGCCGTGCGGCGCGCAAGCCATGGCGCACACTGCCCATCAAGCCTCTGGCTCCCGAGCCAAGTAGCAGGCCCATTGAATCACAAATCGTCATACTGGACTGACCGTCGCCGGCACACACATCAAGAGCATCAGCAGCAGCAGCGCCATCGGCAGCGGCAGCGGCAGCGGCAACCAAGTTGTTATCGTCTTCAGCAAACAGCAGATTCGAGCAGCAACATCCTCCATTTCCATACACCATGGATGCACTGCTTAACTAGTGACCATTCTCCGATTTAACTGGCTTGCCATGTACATACTACATACAATACACACCCGCATGCATACCATAGTACAGACATCCAAGAGACAGGCAGGAGTTACAGCATCCCTGTACGACTTGGTATTGGTATTGGGGAACCGATCCAACCGAACCGATAGAAACCACAAAACAAAACAAAATAAAACAAAACCACTTTATTAGCGCTTAAATAGATGTCTTTTTAAAAAACAAATAGTAAGATAGTAAGTGTTAAGGTCAGTAATAGCAGTAAACAGGACGCAAAATGAAAACAACAAAATATTTATAAATATTTTATATTTTTTTAAATTTAAAAATCTCAACATACCGAATACAACCACACCACACACACACACATAAAACCAACGCCAACACCAACTGCACTGCCACTTTGGAAGTGTGGGCCGCATCAAAGCATGAAACTCAACAGATCGCTCTTGTTTAGTCATCGTCCAGCGTGTCCTTTTTTAAGGAATCCCTTGCATGGTTTCATTCTTAAATATATATGTATATGTATATGTATATGCATGTGTGTGTCATGTATGCAGGGTCCCGCGATATATGTTTTCTGTCTAAACGCGCTTCGAAGTTCCACGTTTTATTTGTTAAGCCTAACACCTAACCCCTAGCTAAGAACCAGATACGTAAATGAAATTGAAAGGCCTACCCGTAATTTGAAATATTTTCAGTCCACCATTGAGTACGGGAATTGTTTGAATGCTTTAAATTGAAGAATGGGAGAAATGTAACCTTGTTAAAGAATGTGACAGTGACAGTGACACGTGCAAAATGATGCAAACATATTGATTTATGCTGTAACTAAACAACGGAATGGGTTGATGGTTGAGCAACAATTGTACAGTAAAGAGTAAAGATAAAATTCGAATAAAATGTATTTTCATAATTTATATTAACGAAAGTTCAGTACTCTAAAGAGCGATATATAGTAGAAACACCCTCGAACACAGCCCCACACACACTCACACACATATAGAATATTATTTACGCATATAAATCCATAAGAAACAAAGCTGCAAATACATTTAAAAATGTATGGCATAATAGCGAGAAAAGTTTCAGAAAATATAAAATCAAACGGAGAATGTCTAGACTCCAGCCTAGAGCAGGGCAAGTGGAAAACAGAACCAGCAAATCATAAACAGAAAACCAACATTTAATAACAGATTATAAAGAAATTTCGATTGTAAGCCAATATACTTTTAACTTAACATCTTAAGCAATTTTGTAAAATAAAACACTTCAAATTAAAATGGTTAGTTAAGTGAAGGAGAACCCGGAGACGTTGGATCGTGCTGCAACTAAAACAGCAAAAATACAGTCCCCGAAGCAGACATGACCACAGCTAAAGCAGCGCGAATGTTAAGCAGGCATACAAAAAACGATTTAGTTGTTTTTATTTCCGAATCGAACACACAGACACATTTGAAGCCAAGATCAGAAGAGAACAACTGCAACTGAAACAGAAACAGAAATAACAAACAAAAATAGAGACAAGCAACAGAAGCAAATCAAACAGAGCTATATACATAATTATATACCTATATATATATATTATATACAGATATACAGTATAACAGTACATACGCATGCGCATTGGATAATACAATACGCCTATACATTTTTACAGAGCAGAGAGTCCGTTCGCGCCAAACGACGAAGACGGCTGATAGGGCGTGTGACAAGCAACCGAAAAGTTTTCCAAATAAAGTTTTAAAACTTAACATTTTTCCTAAAAATATGAAAAAATTCAGGGTTTTTATTTCCGTGGTTAACAATATAAAACAACATTAATGTAACAATTGCACAGCCCCGCTCTACTCTTCGGAGTAGCTGGCAATGCATAGGGAGGCATTGGTGCCGCCAAAGCCAAAGGAATTCTTCAGAGCCACGCGCCTTCCCTGTCCCTGGGACCATTCGCAAGCTTTAGTCACAACATTCACGTTCACATCCAGCTGCTCGATGTTTATGGAAGGCGGCAGGGTATTCTCCGCGCAGGCGTGCACCACGAAGAGCGCCTCCAGGTTGCCAGAGGAGCCCAGCAGGTGTCCGTGGGCTCCCTTTGTCGAGGATACTTGGACCTGGGGCGTGTGTTCGCCGAACACTCGACTAATAGCATACGATTCGATGCGATCACCAGTGGGCGTGGATGTAGCGTGGGCGTTCACGTAGCTGATCTCCTTAGGGCTGACACCGGCGTCCTTGAGGGCTCGTTGCATGGCCAGTGTGGCTCCAGCCCCATCCTCGCTGGGGGACGTGATGTGGTGTGCATCGCCTGAGAGGCCATAGCCCAGCAACTCCGCCAGAATGGGGGCACCGCGGGCGCGTGCGTGCTCGAGTTCCTCCAGCAGCAGCACAGCTGCTCCTTCGCCCATCACAAAGCCATCACGCGCCTTGTCAAAAGGTCGCGAGGCCACGGCTGGGTTATCATTAAATGCGGTACTGAGGGCCCGTAATCTGCAGAAGCCAGCTATTGACAGTGGGTCAATACATGCCTCCCCGCTACCCGCCAGCATCACATCCGCATCGCCGCTGCGAATAAACCGCATGGCATCACCCAGGGCATGGGCTCCAGTGGCGCAAGCTGTTGAAACGGAGTGGTTGGGACCTCGTAGACCGTGCCGCATGCTGATGTGGCCGCATGCCATGCTGGGCAGCAGTCTTGGCACAAAGAAGGGACTGACTCGATTGTAGCCACGCTGTAGCTGGTTCCAGGTGCTGTAAACCTCCGCCAGATCGAACATTCCCATTCCGACACAAACACCGAAGCGCTCCCGCTGCTCCTCACTGAGCTCCTTCGGTTTGAGATTCCCCGAGGCCAGGGCTTCCTCTGCTGCCAGCACAGCCAGTTGTGTGGCAGGGCTCATCAGTTTGATGTCTGTTTTGCTCAGATGCGTTTCCAACTGCAAGTTTTCCCTTGAAATTTGTGCGGCAACCTGGCACGGCAATCCCTTGAACTCCGGCCCCAGTTTTGAGATTGCCGACTCGCCGGCCAACACCCGCCGCCACGAGTCCTGCGCATTGTTTCCCAACGGCGTTACGGCACCGCTTCCAGTGATCACTACGCGTCGTCGTCCAGCCTGCGTCGAGGAATTTCGAGCCTGAGGAACAAAAAACTTGGAACTGCGTAACAACCGCATTTTGTGTTTGTTTTTTTTTGTGTTTACACAATGTTTACATTTGCTCAATTTATTACATGACAACTACACGGTAACTACACATTGCTACAGGCGAAAATGTAAAAAAGCAAGCTAAAATCCGCCCCTTTCGCCCAATATACCTTGTAGACAAAAATCCGATATTGATTGTAAATAGATTTTAATAATCGGTTTAGGATTACTAGCTAGTTAAGACTCTCAGTCCTGAACTCATACTATTATCAGGTTAATGAATCAATTTTCTATAATATTGGCTATTTAATTGATTCTTTCTAAAATAAGGTTACAGAAACCTGTTGCATCATATCGATATATCGATTACATTTCTTCAATTTCAATCAGACGCCAATCAGAAATATATGGACAGAGGGGCGGCTTAAATGTTGTGATATTGTGGAAAGGAATAATGGGCGTAATATTTTTACGCTCCACCTGATGCATGAATCTATGAAAATCACTATTAATAGGCATTATCGTTTGCAGGGAGTTCTGAGCAAGTTGTGTTGCATCCAGGATAACTTCCATATGTCCAAATTGGTTTGAGTAGGCTTTCATGGAGGAGAAGCTCGTTTGAAATCCACAGTTTTTAATTCTTTGCCGCGCAAGGATGTACATAGACTTTTAATCAACTTCTCCAATAAAAAATAAAATAAATAAATATATACAAATTTTAGAATAAAAATACATGCAAAATAGTATATGTTTAATTACATTTATAATAGCTAAAAAAAAATAAAGTCAAGCCCGCTGGGGGTTTATAGCGGTTCTTATCTAAATTGGAGGATTATTTTTTGTACTTGCATATGTATTGAATCTATTCCACTTGAACACTGAATGAGTCTTATCTGTACATATGTAATACATATGTATATACAGTCGAACTTCCATATAGCGAATCCAAAGGGACACTCGTTATACGAAAAATTCGTAATATAGAATTCATTTTTGCAGAATATAGTATAGAATCGTTTTGGATATCATTTCGTTATATAGAAAACTTCGTTGTACAGAAGTTCGTAATAGGGAAGATCGACTGTACAATATATAACTAAGCTAACAACTTGTTGTGATACGATTGCTGGGAGTATTAAATATGTATATATACCGGTTCTACACTTGAAAGAGAGCACCACGTATAAAAGTCTCGCTCAACAGCAGACAATTCATTTTCGTTTCTCTGCTCTTTGGTTCCAGTCCACAACAAACTTGCCGAGCAATGTCTAAGAATTGTACGAAATACCACAGTACAAAATTAATAAAAGTCGAGAATAATGTTGATAATCGAATTGTTTTTCTGCAGCATGCTGTCGCGGACCCGGTTACGCAACGCCGTTGGATGCCATGAAGAGCGGCCCCCGAGAGAAGCTCCTCTACACGGTGACGGTGCAGCCCAACTTGGACGAGCCCCACGGCGACTATCTGTCAACAATCGACGTGGACCCCGAGAGCCCCACCTACTGCCAAGTAAGATAATAAACAGTCTTGGCTCGCACTCAGCTTAATTGATGATGTTGATCCATAGATAATTCACCGCACGTTTACGAATCGGAAAGGGGACGAGCTGCACCACTCTGGGTGGAATGCTTGCTCGAGTTGCTACTATGTGGACGAGAACGCAAAAACCATTCCGAAGAGGGACAGACTGGTGTTGCCAGCCCTGAACTCGGACTTTGTCTACATACTCGACGTGGTCAAGGATCCGCGGAAGCCCGAAATCATAAAGACTATCGATGGCGACGTGCTAAAGAGCCACAACGTGACGGGACCCCATACGACGCACTGCCTGGCCAATGGCAATATTATGATATCTGTAATGGGCGACGCAAAGGGAAACGCCAAGGGTGATTTCATCCTGTTTGATTCGGACTTCAATTGCATTGGCACCTGGACTAAGGGGGAAGAGAAGGCCTTGTGTGGATATGATTTCTGGTATCAGCCGTATTTTGATGTAATGGTTGCGTCGGAATGGGGAGCTCCCAATAAATTTCGACGGTTAGTATTATTTGAAAGGGGTCTAAGGTTTATTAATTATTATTTGTATACCCTTTGCAGTGGCTGGCAGATCAAAGATCTTGAAGACTTGACTCAGTATGGTTGCAGGCTCAACTTTTACAAATGGTCCACGCAAACTTTATACCAAACCATTGATTTGGGTACGGATGGCATAACGCCCTTGGAGATTCGCTTCCTGCATGACCCGAAACGGGCCGAAGGGTTCGTTGGATGTGCCTTGAACGCCAAGGTATTCTACTTCAAGAAGAAGCCCGACTCCGATGAGTTTGAGGCGAAAAAAGTAATTGACATTCCGGGAAAGCTCGTGGACACTGGAAGCGGAACTGCGGAGGACATGGGTGGCATGATTTCAGATATTATTATTTCCCTGGACGACAGATTCCTCTACGTCAACTGTTGGAGGCACGGCGATGTTCGGCAGTACGACATCAGCGACCCGGAACACCCAAAGCTGACGGGCCAGCTATTCCTAGGAGGTGCCATATGTAGCGACCTACCCAATGTCGTTGTAAAAGAGGATAAAGAATTGACAGTGAGTGTTGAATGAAAGAATACACTTGAATCTGTTCTAAATTGCATCGCACAGGAGAGACCACCAGCACGCTATGTCAAAGGTCGCCGCCTGGAAGGTGGCCCGCAAATGATGCAGCTCTCCCTGGACGGAAAGCGTTTGTACGTCTCATCATCTCTATACTCCCCCTGGGACAAGCAGGTGAGCTGCCATCAATAGCATTAGGCCGTATACTTGGACATTTTATGAAAACAATCCCTTATTCATTTCAGTTTTATCCCAAGATGGTGTCCAAGGGTGGTCATGTTTGCCTAATTGATGTGGATACTGTGAATGGTGGCATCTCGTTGAATGAGGACTTCTTCGTGGACTTTGCAAACGAACCCTATGGTCCTGGCCTGCCCCATGAAATGCGTTATCCCGGTGGCGACTGCACTTCGGATATTTGGCTGGCTAACGATGAATAAATCATATTACCTCGTGCCATTTATCTCCAAGAGAAGGCTTTTAACAGATAATTCATATTTAATTATAATTAATGTTTGGAGATATCTCATTCTCATCTTCATTCACATAACTGGAGACATCGCCGGCGTATCGCATTTTCTTCAAAATGAAATCCAAAAGCAAGTTTTGGGTTAATGTATGCGTATAGTTTACAATAAAATACGACGTTTATCTGGTTTTCTAATCGGTCTCATAACTTTGATGCTATGTTGGTCTATGCTAAAACCAAAATGATGTTCTTGGAGACCTGTTGACAGTCGTTAGTATGACATTTTCGTTGGGTAGCTTCATCAGGTTCAGCAAACGCTGGCCACTGCAATAACCGAGGTCTACACAGGGAATGCAACAGGGAATATTGTAATTTACTTACTTGTGGTCGCAGGTGCAGTCAATGAAGTCCCTGGCCAGCCCGTTGAGAATATCTTCGTGGAAAAAGAAGGTGTGCACCAAATAAGCCAGACTGCACGGTATCAACAGCTTGGCCCAGGGTATCTTCTGTAGGAAGGCCAGTAGCTTTTCTTTGCCAGGGTCCCGTGAGCAGACCTGCTGCCAGATCACCTGGCTGGCTGTGACCATGGCAAAGGTCATTAAGGTCGTGCGATTGAGCAGGGCAAAGGATACACCGCTGACAAAAGCGGCCACAGCATTCGCCTGCCTCCGCTTCAGCCTCATTCTCAGTAATAGCCATTGCATCAACTGGAATAAAAGCGAAAACACATGGCATGTCTACTCGTACTTTAGATGGGGAGTGGGGAAACATACTTGAAACAGGCCCATGTAGCCGACCAAGAATCGAGTTGTATCCAGTCGCAGACGCATGAGGTTTCGGCGCATTATGGCGTGCCCCAAGTCTAGTGCTAAACCAATTCCCAGATAAGTTCCAAACTGGGTTAGACTCTGCCGGAGGCGCTTGACCGCTGACCATTTGGGGTAGTCCACAGGTAAGGGCGTTGGCTTGATGAACCAGAAACCCGAATACTTTTGCGCTTGCTGATAGTGCAAGACCACTAGGGAGCTCAGCATGAATACCATCGTCTGGCCCCAACGCGAATGCACCAGACCAAGGTCCCACTGCCGTAGCAGGCTCTCCAAGGCCTGCAACATCATTAGACGGATTTGGGACTCTTTCTAGCCACTGCACTCACCGCATGAGTAATGCCAGTCGAAAAGTACAGCAGAACCTGCGGTGGCATCCACCAGCTGAGCTGAGAGGCCAGCCAGCACGACAGGTAGGGGGTGTAGATGAACACGAAGCGCCCGTTGAGACGCCGGGCCACGCACATGAAGTAAAACGTGAACGCATTGATGCAGGAGGCGAAGCTGACGGACTGCACATAGTTCTTCACTATAGCCAGGATCGTTCCTTTGGATACCTTGCGCCACTTCAAGACCAGAGGCAGCTGCAAGGAATAGAAAATGCCGAATGTTTATCTCGGGATTTACTGCCTAATGAAACACTAGCAGACCAGCAGCAAGGGGGAGTAATATTTGGCACTCGACACATGATTGCGGTAGATATTCCAAAGCAGGGCATGGGTGCAGCTCTGTCCTGGACGGCTGTGCAGGACGCAACAATGCAGGCGATTCAAGGGCCTCTCCAACAACTTGCTCGGGGCGACGGCCATATCGCGGTGATCGCGGTGACTTCTCGGGACGGACTGTCGGGGTACACCCCATCTCCATGCCCATCCCCGGCCGAGTGGCCGCTGAAAGCTCGCCAGTCGGATTGGTTCAAGTCGGAGGTTAATATGCAAAGCATTGGAAAAGTGTATTTCAACGGAACGCACATAAAACAATAGTCTAATCGATTCAACACAGGCGGGCTAGGCGCTTTCTGATGTTTAATGCGCTGTGGAAGAAGGGAACGAAACTGTAATTTGAGCAGCCGCTAAATCCATTCGACTTACTAGTTGGCTGTGGTACTGTCGATGATGACGCCGGACAGTCCGCTCACCCTCTGCGACTGCAGTACGTAGTTGTGAATGAGGTATGCCAGAGCAACGGGGAACGCCAGATCGCCGTAGCCGTAGCCGTAGCCGTGACGCTTCTTTGAGTCCTTCTTCGATCCTTGGTGTCTTGCCCACAGTGTGCGAATGGCCTCTAGCAGGGCGTAACTTAAAATGGTCGGTTTCGGGTAGAGGAGGTAGCTGAGGCCCCCAAGGAAACCAGCCCATAGATGCCTGGCCGAGTCCTTGACCACTGGCCCGTGTCGTAGATAGCAGAGAACGGCCTGAAAACGTTGATCTCTTGATTTGAATGCATCGAAATGTGTGTTCTTTACCCTGTAGATGGCCACGTAGCAGCCCAGCCAGGCCGTTGACTGGAGACTAAGATGCCTCAAACGCCACTCGCCTGCCTTCGTGCAGCTGATAGTGGCCCTGAAGAGATCCAAAGCGAGTCCAATCATTAGATAGTTGCGTATGCCACGCACTACGTAAAGACGGCAATCGAGTTCAGGGTGTGTGCACCCCTTTCCATGAAGAGCATCCGCAGTCGGTGCAGCGTCAGGCGTTAGAAACCAAAAGCCACTATGCCCCCAGCGTCTCTGTTTGCCCTCCAGGATGACGGCGCTGCAGCACATGAAGATCAAAGCTTGCAGCGGCAGGGAACGCGTTACGGCTCTGGCCAACGGATTGGAATGCAGTAGAAGACTCTCAATGAGCTGCAAGAGGGTGAGTGCCCTTGAATGAATTATGACCAACTCCATCTACTACTCACTGACTGAAATATGGCCGTGTGCTGGAGGTGCTTCACGCGTCTGGGGAAGCAGGCACAGATGCTGCCCCCAATGGCAGCCGGAACGAACAGCAACGTGTACAGGTGGAACTTTCCCAGCAGGTTGCTGCAAACAGCAATTGATGTCAACTGATGTTATCAGTCATCAGACATGCCCCGCGTACGTACCGTAGGCTGCACATGGAGATCGATATGAGGCTGGCATTCGCCACGCCGCCGAGTACCAGTTGGGCATAGTACCACAACGAATCCAGCAGTAGGTTTGGCGACAACCAAGCACTTCCCGAACCTCCCGAAGGAATGCCGTGCTTCCCCAAATGAAGCAACACCACTGGCAGATAATACTTCGAGTTGGACCAGGCAAAGCGCCAGACATTTTCGAGTGCCGCCCGCCGGCAGCTGCGCGGATGGAGCAGCTCTTGGCAGCTGCGCCAGCGAATGGTCTCCTCGAACGACTTGCTCAGCGCAGCCATGGAAACACACGACTGGAGGAGAGTCGTTGCAAACGCCACTTGGCTGCCTAAAGAATGCTAATTTATTTCCGAATACTCGTATATAATGAATAATATAGTTTGAATTGCAGAATTCGTTTGCGGCGTTTAGTCAACCTCTTCCACGGTGGGTCCGGTGCCATTGCCAGTCTGCTGTTTGCCTTTCTGACCGGCACCGCCATGTAGCTTGGTCATAATGGGACTGCACACGCGTTGGGAGTCCTTTAGGTGGTGCTCGTACTCTTCCTTCTCGGCCAGCGTGTTCTTGTCCAGCCAGGCCGTCTCGGAGGAGCACTTGTCGCGCACCGTGGTGCGATCGGCATCGGAGAGGACCCCAGAGGCCGACTCATCAACCGCCTGCTTGCATCCGTAGAGGTATCCCTCGAGAGTGTTGCGGGCCTGGACCCGTTCGCGCTGCCTCTCGTCTTCGTCCTTGTACTTCTCGGCATCGGAGAGCATGCGGTCGATTTCGGCCTTGGACAGACGACCCTTGTCGTTGGTGATGGTGATCTTCTCGGACCTGCCGGAGCTGTGGTCCTTGGCGGCGACATTCAGAATGCCATCGGCGTTCAGGTCAAAGGTCACTTCAATCTGGGGCACGCCACGTGGAGCCGGCGGAATGCCGGTCAGGTTGAAGGTGCCCAAGAGATTGTTGTCCTTGGTCATGGCACGCTCGCCCTCGAACACCTGGATGGTCACGGCGTTCTGGTTGTCGCTGTAGGTGGTGAAGGTCTGCTGCTGCTTGCAGGGAATCCGGGCGTTACGCTCCACTAGCTTGGTCATCACTCCACCGGCAGTCTCGATGCCGAGGGAGAGTGGAGCCACGTCCACCAGAAGCAGATCCTGGATCTTGGAGCTGCCGACCCCCGTCAGGATGGCAGCCTGCACTGCGGCGCCATAGGCCACGGCCTCGTCGGGATTGATGGACAAGTTCAACTGCTTGCCTCCAAATAGGTCCTGCAGGAGGCGCTGTATCTTGGGAATACGCGTGGAGCCGCCCACCAGGACCACATCGTGGATGGACTTCTTGTCCATCTTGGCATCGCTGAGCGCCCGCTCCACTGGCTGCATTGTCGAGCGGAACAGGTCCATGTTCAGCTCCTCGAAGCGGGCACGCGAAATCTTCGAATAGAAGTCAATGCCCTCGTGCAAGGCATCAATCTCCAAGGAGGCCTCCGTGCTGGAGGACAGTGTGCGCTTGGCCCGCTCGCAGGCAGTGCGCAGGCGGCGAAGGGCCCGCACGTTGCCCTTGATGTCGGCCTTGTACTTGCGCTTGAACTCCTCCATGAAGTGGTTGACCAGACGGTTGTCGAAGTCCTCGCCGCCCAGATGGGTGTCGCCGGCCGTGGCCTTGACCTCAAACAGCGACCCCTCGTCGATGGTCAGAATGGACACGTCGAAGGTGCCGCCGCCCAAATCGAATATGAGAACGTTGCGTTCGCCCTTCAGATTCTTGTCCAGACCGTACGCCAAGGCAGCGGCCGTGGGCTCGTTGATTATTCTGAGCACGTTGAGACCGGCAATGGAGCCGGCATCTTTGGTCGCCTGCCGCTGGCTGTCGTTGAAGTAGGCCGGCACTGTGATGACGGCATCCTTCACCTTGCCACCCAGATACAGCTCGGCAATCTCTCGCATCTTGGTCAGGACCATCGAGCTGATCTCCTCGGGGGCAAAGCGCTTGCGCTCGCCCTTGAACTCGATCTCAATTTTGGGCTTGCCCCCGTCGTTAACGACTTTGAAGGGCCAGTGCTTGAGGTCCTCCTGGATCTTCTTGTCGTCGAACTTGCGGCCAATCAGGCGTTTCGCATCGAAGACCGTATTCTTGGCGTTCATGGCAACCTGCGGAGGGTGGGAACGGGTGTGGAAACGGGATTAGTCAGCGCATTCGCTATTTATATACGGCCACTATTTGGCCAAGTGTCGGCAGGCGCCCAGCCACCCACACATGACGCTGATGCTGCTCTCATATTTATTTGTGTAAAGTTCCAATTAAATCGCTCAAATCGGATCACATCATCATCATCATCACTGCAGCGGGCATCTATGTTCGTATATCTGACCATATCGGCGCACGCTCATATTTGGACAATCATAATTGGCCCCCATTTGGTGGTGACCTGACCCTGACTCACCTGGTTCTTGGCCGCATCGCCAATCAGGCGCTCCGTGTCGTTGAATGCCACATACGAGGGGGTCGTCCGGTTGCCCTGGTCGTTGGCTATGATCTCCACCTTGCTGTTCTGCCACACTCCCACGCAGGAGTAGGTGGTTCCCAAATCGATTCCGATTGCCGGTATCTTGGCCATTCTGACGCGATCTTTTATATATATCTACCGATTGTTCCAAACTGTTCTCAATGATTCGTCGGCACTTGCTGCTGCGTCTGCTGTTTTCGATCAACTAAAGGCGTGCGTTCGTTGCGTCGATTTTTATGGTGCAGCAAATTCTACAAAACGAGCCGAATTTTGTTTTCTTATTTTTTCACACGCTAATTTCAAAATGTGTGTTGTTTCGTGTTTTTGGAGATTCTGACGTTTGTTCTAGACGTGTTTGCTGCTCTCATTGGTGCTGACGTTTAGCTTAAGGCAGACTGCGTTTTTTTTTTGGGAAATGGTTTGATCGATGACTGCCTCGATTTGGTTTCGTGTATATAAATGTGTATAAATAAAAGCAATGTAGAGTAATATGCTCCGAATAGCTTTAGATCTATCATCTTTACCTCTTTCACAAAAAATATATTAGCGTGGTCTTTAATTATATATGTATCTAGATAGATGCCTTTACGATTTGACGAGGACATAGCCTTTAAGATTGAACTTGAACTTGACTTTTTGGAATGGATGAATTCCAAAATATTGATATGTATTACATACAATAATTTTCATTAAAGAGATGACATGAGCTGGAACACCTTCCCCCATCATATTAAATTCTTTAGCAACACAACAGAGTTCAGGAAAAATTTAAACGCACTCCCTAATACATACATTATTTATTAAATTGTATAATTCTTTCAAAAAAAGTTCCTATTATTCTTACGAATTGATTAATTCAATTCCCACTAAAAATATACGAGTATGTTTGCTTTCTCAAATTGTATAATCTTATTTAAAATAAACAACATCAATTTTATATGTTGCTCTCATGAATTTCATCAGAAAATTTTCCGACACCTGTTCTCAGCGCTTTCCCTTCTTTTTCTTCTTTTGGCCATCGGGCCAGGCGAAGCCCCGTGATTTGAGCACATCCTGAAACATTCATCTGATGAGTACACCAAATAGCAGGCATAACAATGGCTCACCTGGACATTATGGCACACATAGTAGGCGTTCTCCATGGCAGCATCGTTGAAGATATCGCAGCCGATGGACTTGCCCACGCCTCCTTTCTTCTTACCGCCGCCTCCGCCACCTCCATCCTTCTTCTTCTTTTCATCTCCCTCACCACTGCCAGCATTACTGGAAGTGGAATCCTTGCTATTCCGCTTCTTCTTACTCTTGCCGACCATGTTCAATGTCTCAGATAATAAAATGCAAAATATTTAAGGATTGATTATTGATTTAATAACTATTTCCCTAGTTGCGATGCCTAGCAACTGTAACCAGTAGAAGCTGAGTATAAAAATAACATAAGTAAACTAATTCTGATTGGAGAACTCGTTGTAATAGTTCGGCCACACAATGGACGCTATCCAATCAATGTAGGACGAGACTCGGGTGTAAACACCTGCATATGTAAAAGAGAAAAAGTTCATACAAATTAGAGATAACATTTCACAATTAAAATATGTTTAAGTACCTGGAAACTCGCTGCGGCAGTAGGTGCCGTAGGAAGTGATACCGACCAGATAGTAGCGGAAATGCCTACCGCTCCGGTGACGACGACGACGACGTCGCTCCAAGTTCAACTGCAATGGACCTCCAGAGTCCCCCTGTAAGACATAAATGGGTTCATTAATCCGTACAAAAAAACAAAGTTTTGGGACACCACTCGCCTGACAGGTATCGCGATTCTTCTCGTAGTCGTGGGCGCATATCTGACTACTCAATATACCTTCTGGAGCACTCTCGTCCGCTGGCAGAGTGCTATTACATTTTTCCAGCGGCACCACGGATAGGTCGAGTTCCGTCAGGATGTTGGTTTGAGCCTGGGCAAATCCTGTCGAGCCGTAGCCCATCGAGTGCAGTTTGTTGTAGGGGATCTCGTGTCTCGCCCACAGCCGCACGGGCTTCACAAACCACGTGTACTCCACAGGTCGGTTCAACTGTATCAGTCCTATGTCATGGTAATAGAACGTGGTGTTGTACAGTGGATAAAGGTAAATCTGTGCCACACGGCGTCTTTGCGGCGCCACATCGTTCTCCCATTCCTTGAGCTTGATGTCTCCGATTTTGACCACATCGGGTGCGGTGCTAGGCCATAATACAAATAGGGAACAAATAAATTACGTGACTTTATTATGTGAAGGAAATGTCCCCTTTGGTTGGAATATTTTTGTTAGTGTTTGTTTGGTGCACACGGAGAAAAAAGTCTTGAATTGTTACTATTTACGATTGTATCGAAAAATGTGAACCAATCGATTTGAGATTGGAAATTTGAATAGAAAATTTTTCCCTTAATTTTTTATACTAATATGCAAATATAAATTATTCCTAAAAATGTATTTATTATTATTTATTTTTTTAAAGTGATTTATATTAAGATCAAAAAAGACTTTTTAATATATTTATGTTTAAATCAAAGTGAATTCTATTAATATCAGGATTTTTCTATTTGAAAACTGAATATTTATATGAAATATTAGTGTGTTTCTTTTTCGATGCCTATTTTCTCTGAGGTATGCCCACCTTAAATTTTTAATTATTTTATTTATACAATAACGTACGATCCTATAAAGTACTAGGGCGTTTTCCGGCTGGGACTTCCCTTTAAATCAATTGAATTCGCGCATGCAGCTTAGTTTTCCAAGAACAAATAAGCTCTGGTATTTCTGTGCGATAATAGGGCATCAAAGCACACACATACACAACACATACATACATACGTACAAGATTTGTTCTCGGAGAAAAGAAATGGAAAGCTTACCCGTGTGTGGTTAAGCAGTGAGCGGCCGTAAGCACAAAATACTCACTGATCAAACTGCCGCCGCATTTGTAATCAATTTCGTGGTTCTCATTGCGGAATCCCAGAGCGGCCTGCATGCCAAGAGCGGCGTGGTGGAAGAGCCAGAGAGAAGAAATGAGAGGAGATGAGACAGATGAGCGTGGCCTAATAACTGTTATTAAATCGTAGGGCATCGATTTTGCCAATAGGTGCGACGCGTCAAACTGTTTTAGTTGTCTCTTTCTCTTCGCTTTGCACGGTTCACAGTGGACGGTGGACGGACGTATGGTCGTATGGTACATTGGCGTGTGGCGTTTTCCATAGTCGAGTCCGGTTTTGTGTGATTTTTGTTGGGAGTGGAGTGCTGCCTTAATTTTACATATGTACTAACTACTTGTATTCCCCGTCTGTGTACTGACCATGTGCGGGTACTGGCCGGGTGCGACAATTGACCTGCCGTTGAAGTCATCCTGCAAGTCCTCCATTTCGGCCGTCTGGTTGTAGTTTTGGGCATCCACTTTTTGTTCCGTGTTCAGGAAGATGTTGTGAAAGTTTCGATGGTGATCTGGGGGAGGTCGGTGGGGAGCGTGCCAATACTTGTTCCCACCACCACCGCCATCACCACGCGGAGGTTGTACCGGCCGTGGCCCTCCAGGACATCCAGGCGGGGGCCCGGGCGGTGGAGGTCCCGGCGGGGGCGGACCGGGCGGCGGGGCACCACAGGGCGGTGGCGGTCTATAATAGGCGTTAAAGTAACCCGGCGGCCATTGATTGTTGTAACCGTAGTCCCACCTGTTTTGCTCGGGCTGTGTATCGGTGCCGAAGCCCCACTGGGCCTGGCTACCGCCGTTGTCCCAGTACTGTCCATTGACCCCAACTCCGCACAAAACCAAACAAATCAGGCAGAAGAGCCATTGCAGACTGGGAGAGCTGGGCCGCAGCTTCTCCATCGCACGTCTCACCCGCTTGACCGACCGAATACAACTGTTGCGACTGAGACTCGAGCGCCGGGGTCTTTCACGAGGAAAGATACACAGTTCAAGCAAAACGTTTTATTGATATTCAGCCGAATTTCTAATTGAGCGCCCGCATTAATTAACAAAAAAACAAAAATACATTAAACAAAAATCCACACAGACACACAAGGGTTTGTTTTGGGACAGTGGTGGCCAAAATATCACGCACAACAGATCCCAAAACCAATCTTTGCATCTTATCCGGGCATACTCGTAGGCTGTCGATTCTGTGCTGTGGAATGTGTTCACTTATTCGCAAATGCCAGTAGAATGATGGTGCTCTGGCCCCCAATCATCCACCTCCAGCTGACCTGCCTGCTGCTCCTCTACCTGTCGCGTCGTCTGGAAGGTACGTGGGGTAGTTACAAGCCGAAATCTTTGCCCTTATTCTCGTCTCATCTCATTCTTTCAGCGCTAGATGCCATTGAGATCATCAACTACCAGACCACCAAGTACACTCGACTCGGTGATCCTTGGACGCAGCAGGAAGGAGCGCCGGCAGCGGCGTCAGGAGAGGAAAGGGAGGAAAGCTATTTGAAATTCGATGACGACGCTGAAGTGATGCCACCGGCCTCCGAAGTGCTGCACGAAGGAGCCTTCTGTCGGCGCAGCTTTGACGGACGCAGTGGCTACTGCATCCTGGCCTACCAGTGCCTGCATGTGATACGGGAGTATCGGGTGCACGGCACCCGCATTGACATTTGCACCCATCGGAACAACGTGCCGGTTATCTGCTGCCCCCTGGCCGACAAGCATATCCTGGCCCAGCGCATCAGTGCAACAAGTGAGTGGATCAGTGAGTGCAACACTGCAGCTCTATTATCAGCGGTCTCCCCCAGAATGCCAGGAGTACAACTCTGCCACTAGGCGCCTGCAGCTGGCCGATGCCGGCAGAACATTCTCCGGGAAACAGTGCGTGCCCAGCGTGCCTCTGATAGTGGGTGGCACACCCACGCGACACGGCCTCTTTCCACACATGACCGCCTTGGGTTGGACGCAAGGCAGCGGCGATATCAAATGGGGCTGCGGCGGCACGCTGGTCAGCGAGCTCTACGTCCTGACGGCCGCCCACTGTGCCACCTCGGGTAGGTAAGTGGCAAATTCCTGCTCGGTCACAACTATATCGGATATGTCCTCTTTCCAGCAAGCCCCCGGACATGGTTCGCCTAGGTGTTCAGCAGCTGAATGTGACCAGTGCGGCGCAGCAGGACATCAAGATCCTAATCATCATCTTGCATCCGAAGTATCGATCCTCCTCCTACTACCACGACATTGCTCTGCTAAAGCTAACCAAGCGGGCCCAGCTTTCGGATCAGGTGCGTCCCGCGTGCCTCTGGCAAGTGCCGGAGCTGCAGATCAAAAGCGTCGTGGCCGCTGGCTGGGGGCGCACCGAATTCCTCGGGGCCAAGTCAAATGCCCTGCGACAGGTGAACCTGGATCTGATACCGCAGCAGCGATGCAAGCAGATGTACCGCAAGGAGCGACGGCTGCCACGCGGCATCATCGATGCCCAGTTCTGTGCCGGCTACCTGCCAGGTGGCAGGGACACGTGCCAGGGTGACTCCGGCGGACCTCTGCATGCCGTTCTTCCGGAATACAATTGCGTGGCCTTTGTCGTCGGCATCACGTCCTTTGGCAAGTTCTGTGCGGCACCCAATGCTCCGGGCGTTTACACCAGGATATACAGCTACCTCGACTGGATAGAGAAGATTGCGTTCAAGCAGCGCTAGACCTGGTCCTAGACAATCTAGCTTTACAATGTTACAATGTTTTACAAATAGATCCACAGATTATGTTCGATATTCTTTGAAAAGCTTATATTTTCAAACTTTTTAGGGACATCAAATGTCCCCTTTACTGATTAATTAAAAACATTAGGTCTACCTGAGATCCCAACAATACATTTTAAGTTAAGAATAATATTGAATGGAAAACCAATAAAAGGACTCATTAAATCAATGTACAATATGTATGGGAAAATTATCACTCAAGGCCAAACAAGTTGCTCTATCCAGCGGAGATAGTGGACAATGCGCACATAAATCCCAGGCTCCCCGGTGGCACAGGCGCCTCCAAAGGAGGTGAGACCCACCACGTAGGGTACTCTTTGATGGCGGTGTCCCATGTGCTGGAGGAGCAGAAGGGGACCGCCCGAATCGCCCTGCAGATTGAAGATTGAAAATTGGTATTGATAGAGGGCAACTCTATACTAACCTGGCAGGTGTCCATGCGGCCAGAGGAGTCGCCGGCGCAGAACTGCCCAGGCCCGAGGCCATTGCTCAACTTGTCAGAATTTGGGAAGTACTGCTGGCATCTTGGATTGTCCAGGGGATACAGAAGCACCTGCAGCAGCTCATTGGAGTGGGGTCCAGCTAAAGAATTTTATATTTTTGTATAATTTTCCATTTTTGGAATGTCAACAAGGCACTAACCAAACTTCGTCTGTCCGTACCCCAGGGCTGTCAGGGGTTGTTCTGGGATAGATTCCTGGGTCCACAGACAGGCCACCGGATGGTGAACACTCCTCGCCAGCTCGATCACAGCCAGATCGTTGCTGAGGGTCTCCTCATCGTAGTGGGGATGCCGTGTGATATGCTTGATTTCAATTTTTTGGCCGCGGGTGTCGTTCAAGTCAACGCCACCAATCAACGCCACTGCCGGGGATTCCCTGTTCGTTCAAGAGACTCATTAGCATTTCAGGTGCTGCGTCGCGTATCTACTGATGCTGCTGCTCACCCGCCAACGTTCGCACAGTGTCCGGCGGTTAGGGCGTATCTGCGCGAAATTAATACACAGCCACAGTTGAACACATATCGGGATAGACCCCAGGTGTGGGAATTGTCATTTCCGTGCCGCAAAGAACGCCAGCCGAGGGCACACTGGAAGAATACATACATTTGATTCGATAGATATATTTTCTATGGAGTATTTTCTTCGGTTACCATGTAGGGATGCTCGTGTTCCTGGGTGAGTCTGCCGCCCACTACTTGATTTTCGGTGCGATTAAGGCGCTCAATAATGGGCTCCACCACTTCCTGTAGCTCAGGATCTGCAGACGTATCGCGACGGCGTCTACGCTTGTGTCTGCCTCTCTGGTAGGCTTTCGAGCAAGCTTTCGGATGGGATGGTTAAATCTGTTTCGGGACACATTCGACACACACACCTTGCTCACTCTTTGATTGGATTGTTTCCGCCAACACGTATCCGCCGTGGGGACAACACACAAGCAGTTCCTGTCCGGACGATGTACAGTATAGCGGAGTCACTTGATGGCCGGATCGCACCGCACTGATGCAGTCTCTATATCTCACACAACGTCCCACCAAGGGACGATCGTGCGCATAGCAGTTCCCGTACATGTCGAACGAAACGTAGGACGGGACCACTCCGGTCCAGGCTGTGTGAGCACGTTGTCCGTGTCCATGTCCAGAGTGCCGGCCGTGTCCCGATACTATAGTCAGTATCAAAGTCGCAACGAATGTGAGCATCTGGGAATATCTCGATTGCATAGCTGCCACTTGTCCACGCGCTCAGCCGTCCAGATTCCGAATGAAAGATGCTCGCCAAGTGAGCGCTAAAAACCCGTCTTTCATTCTGTCTACTCACGCAAGTGTGGAATTATTATTTGCGAGGGTGTAGTATAGAGTCATTTAATTTTGACCAGTCTCTCCGTATCCTATCATATCACAAAGTTTATAATATTTCTTCCATATTCATAACGAACGGATTTAAGTACTGAATACTCAGGAGTATTCTTTATTTATATCGATCTGACCATCTGATCTAAATCATCCTAAGCGTGTACTAGACTCGATTTATATAAGACCAATAGGCATCGAGAAAAAAGTGAAATGTCAAAATTCAAGCAGAGACCGAAGCGCTAGGTGCATGTTCTTCTCTCTCTCATCAAAAATGGCGTCAAAGCGCTTTAAGTAGTGCTGAGCGTAAAATAAGTCCCGAAAGAGTATTAGCGGAACACCTTGTGTATTTTGAATCAGTTCTATGCTGAGATCTCTCTCCGTAAAGTTTGCATACCGATCTCGTTTCGTGAACATTTATCTGGCCGGGCATAAGAGCGAGCAATGGTTTTCACCTAAGCCGCCGGTATAAATAAATATTATAACGTTAGACCTACTTGTTTCATTTGTATTTTAGACAAAAAAAAGTTGCCAAAACATTACCGACACATTACTTTGCGGGTGTGTATGTGTCTGTTGAAAAAGTAAACAATTAAAAAAATTAATTAATGAAATCAACATGTGCCCATAAATCAATTTAATTGTATATTTCGAGAAAATTAACTTTATTTCACTATTCGATGTGGGTATGAAGAACGTGCATAGGTGATTTTTATAAATCAACATTCAAATCAAAAGGAAGGTCAAACTATACATAGTTACGTGCAATTAAAGATCAAATCAAGTTGATTGTGTCCAATTAGCCACCCTTTAAAGTCTTTTTATTATATTGTATATAGTGACTCTTTTTTTATGGTTATATTTGTACACATACTTGTATGTACATATATAATATATTTAAATTTATTAGCAATCTGATTTTGTATTCGCTTCCCTTTCGTAACTGATAGATTCAAAGCAGCCAGCTTACGGAGGGATACGGAGGTATTTTCCCGCTCTGTAGGCAGTGGGAACGTGTTAACTGCAGGAGTTGCCACAGCAAATGTGGCAGTACCGTACCTATCTGGTGAGGCTTGGGAACTGGAGATGAGGATACTTAGTTTGCTGAATAGTGCTGCTGCACTATTGCCGCCTGCAATAGATAAAACCCATCCAAGCGATGCATGTCCATAGTTAATGTCAGCTTTTAATGCACCATCCATCCCAAAGGTATGAAACATCTGAGTGACTTGGAGAATTGGGAATCGTAGGGTCATTAGAAACAAATTATGTGATTGTTTGATAAGGATCGGATACGATTTGTATACGTTGAAATATAGTTTTGGGTATATGCTACCCTGCCCATTGACCACCATTCGGATTTGCGTACTCCACGATGTAGAGGCGATTGGAGAGATCAAGCAGACAATAGCAGCTAGGCCTCCATTGCTACGAGTATATGTGCATATACATCCCTCTGCCTTTCCTACATCAATACGAAAACCCCTTTTACTAACAGCTTTATGCGAATTTAGATGTCAAATATTTATTCGATTGAACTATGTACAAAGTCACGTGCAGTAAAATACGAAATGTCGCAGAGTGCGGGATCAATCCTTAGGGCACAATATTCCAAGGAGTAAAGCTGCCTTCCTCGGGAATCTCGAGCTGAAATAATTGGGTAGAATTATTTGTCTATGGTTTTCTTTGATGAATCTTTGTGGGGAAAACCTACCAGATTAGTAAATTTATCCTGGCAGGCCATGCGAATGCGTGCGGAGGTTGAGGGCGCCTCCAGGGGGAAATCCCCAGTCAAGCCCTGCTCTTGGCGAGCAGCTGCAATGGCCTCCTTGATGGCAAAGAAAGCCGATGAGCCAATGAAGAGCGGAGGTTCGCCTACGGCCTGCAAGGGACAAAAAGTGGTATTTACATACGATGTTTAATGCCAGGAAAGGGAGGAGTATGTCACCTTTGAGGAGTAGACAGCGCGCGGGTTGGGGGCACCAGTCAGCAGGCTGACATTGAACTCGCCGGGAATGTCGGCGAAGCCGGGCAGCTTGTACATGCCAGGACCTCGGGAATAGAGCATGCCCTGCGGCGAGTACATGAGCTCCTCGAGCGTGAAGAGGCCATAGCCCTGCATGAAGGCGCCCTCGATCTGGCCGATGTCAATGGCCGGGTTGATGCTCGATCCGATGTCCATCACAATGTCCGTGCTGAGAACCTGGTGATCGCCTGTCAGACAGTCGATCTCCACAACGCTGATGCCCACCCCGTTGGTGTAGTAGCTGTAGGTGCGAGCGTTGGGATTCGTCTCCGGATGGTAGCCAATGCCGGGCATCGCATAAAATCCAGTTGCCGAGAGGCTGACCCGGTCAAAGTACGCTTTGTTGATCCACTCCTGCCATGTGCCCTGCGGCAGGGCTTCCTTAATCGGTGCCAGTCGCTTGTTGAGCTTCTCGCAAGCGTCCAGCACGGCCATTCCATTGAGGTCGGAGCCCACACTGGCCGCTGTGGGCGAGGTGTTCGGCACCTTGTCGGTGGCAGTCTCTGAGATGTGGATCAGCTCAATGGGGATGCCCAGAGCCCGGGCTGCGCACTGAATCATCTTGGTGTTCAGACCCTGGCCAATCTCGACGCCTCCATGCGAAAGCAGCACGGAGCCATCGCCGTAGACGTTGATTAGGGCCCCCGCCTGGTTCAGATGCATCACCCCGAAGGCGATTCCATACTTGGTCGGAATGACGGCCATGCCGCGCTTGCGCCATCGGTTCTCCCGGTTGAACTTGGCGATCTCTGTGCGCTTCTCGTGGTAACGCGACTGCGCCAGACAGTCATCCAGGCAGCGCTCGATGGGAAAGTGCTCCAGCTTCTGGTTGTAGTGGGTGATGTCGCCCGTCTTGTAGAAATTCAGACGCATCACATCCAGTACATCGCGCCCCACGATCCGGGCCACGTCCCTGATTATGTGCTCGCCGGCAAACATGCCCTGGGGTCCGCCAAATCCTCTGAAAGCCGTGTTCGAGGGAAGATTCGTCTTGCAGACCCAACCCCCGACGCGCACATTGGGAATGCGGTAGCAGTTCTCGAAGTGGTACATGGCCCGCTCCAGCACCTGAAATCGAATCCATCGAATGGGTTATATCGCTGTGTTAGCATTGGCTCGAGAAGACTCACCGAAAAGGACAGATCCATGGACCAGCCGGCATTGTTGTAGCACTCAATGTCACAGGCTGTGATGAGCCCGTCGCTGGCGAAGGCCACCTTGTACTTGAAGAGGAACGGGTGGCGGGTGCCGGTGATCAGCATGTCCTCGTCGCGGTCGAGCATGCAGCGCACTGGGCGACGCAGCCTGTAGGCAGCCAAGGCCACGGGCAGAGCCACGGATATGCCCCGAGACTCCTTGCCGCCGAACCCGCCTCCCAAGCGCTTGGCCCGGCAAACCACTCGGTGTGCTGGCAGCGTGGTCACATGCGCCACTAGCTTCTGCACCTCGGACGGATGCTGAGTGGAGCAGAAGAGCTCCAGCTCGTCGCTGTCGCGGGGCACGGCCACAGCCGCGTGGGTCTCCAGGTAGAAGTGCTCCTGCCCACCCATGCGACAGCTTCCCTCGTACGTGTGCTCCGCCGCGGCGAAGGCCTCTTCCACATTTCCCTTGTTCACGTAGCGCGGATAGTCCGGAAAGTAGGAGCCGTGCTCAATGGCCTGCTCGATGGTGACAATCACCGGAGCGAGCTCCTCGTACTCGACACGCACGAGACGCGCCGCGCGCTGAGCCAGCGCCTTGTTGTCGGCCGCCACGGCGCCCACGATCTGTCCGTAGCAATGCACCTCGGCGGCTGCGAATACGTGCTCGTCGTGGAACACAGGACCCACCTCGTTCTCGTGCTCCGTCAGATCCTTGTGGCTGAAGAACGCATGCACTCCCTCCAGGGCCAGGGCCTCGCTGGCATCCAGTTGGGTGATCTTGGCCCGCGGCTTTGTGCTCAGCACGAGTCCCAGATAAAGCTCTCCATCCATGCGGGGAATGTCGTCCGTGTATATGGCCTCGCCTGTGGCCTGTTTCAGGGCTGCGGCATGCACCTCCGGCCTTCCGATAGGATCGCATACGGGCTGTTCGCTGCAGACCCGCTCAAAGAGCTGTGCGCTACGCAGGACGGGTGTGTGGAAGAGCTCAGCCCCGCTGCGCTCCTCCGCCGGAATAGCGTCCGTAGAAATGATCCCAGCCTCGCTCAGCTTGCGACTGATGGAGAGGTAGGCCTTGAAGATGAGACTGACCACCAGAGCCCGGCGATAGGCAATCATGCCGCCCGGAGCGGAAGCTGCCAATGGAAGCTCTCCACACAGGCCCTCCGCCACGCGCTCCACCAGGTGATGATCCAAAGGCTGCTTGACCATCAATTGGGAGGTGCGAGGCGCCAGCACCGTGGTGGGGGCCATGCCTCCGAAGGCCATGGAGATCTCCGCCACCACATTGGTCCGGGGCTCAAATCGGACGTTGACGGCGGCATTGACAATGGCTATGTCGTCGTCGCGACGACGAGCCTGCTTGAAAGCCACAATATGCTGGTCCGGTGTGGTCTTCTGGAAGTGGATGCCCAGCAAAACCTCGTGGGGTTCGATGACGTTGCGCCGGTACCCGGTGAAGAAGCCAGTGCCCATGTGAACAGTCCGGTGGCTTGTTTTGCCGCCGACTAGACTTGCTACCTCCAAGCGAGCGCCGGCGGCTGTCAGCACAGGATTCATGTCCGAGATCGGGCTGCCCGTCATGATGTTACCGCCTAGACAGGCCACGTTGCGGATCTGCTTGCCGGCAAAGTAGTGCAGCATATCCACGGCACATTGAAAGAGGCGGGTCTGCGCCTCCGGGAGCTCCTCGATTCGCTGGCGGAGAAGGGC